TCGAAAATTACACCTTGCTACCCCATTATTTGGAATAATTGCATCAATAACTTATGACAAATTAGTGTAGGTTAGCGAACAATCAAAATATCCTAAACGTAAATGTACTAAGGTCTTTGTTATTCCGAAACATAGAACAATGGCATTTAGAGGGTCCTTCAGGTACGCAGCTTCTCGTTGCTGGGACGATCTGCCGCCACCAATACGTGCTCTAAAAACTATAGGAATATTTAAAAAAAAAACTGATATTAATTTTAAAACAAGACTATAATCCCTCGTAATTTTAAAAATTTACTATTTTCACGTGCACAATTTAAAGGGCCTCCATTTAATGCTAAAAAGATATGATAACTGTAACACTCACTGTATTTTTTTTTAATATCCACACTAATTTTCAGATCCCTTACTGTTTCGTTTTCTTTTCGTTGATGGTGTGTATAAGGGACAGAAGTGGACTGTATGACTTACTGACTGACTGAGGTATACTACACTAGGGACTGCTTAAAGAAAAGATGGTACTGTAGAACTATACTGTATTAAACTATTTAGAAATGCGGCTTTCACTAATTAACTATATACACAGAGGGGGATCTTCAATGGAGTAAAAATTCTTCTCTCTTCAGGTTTCTTCTCTTGTTGTCTTCGAGTGCCGCTTCCGAAATGAACGCCTCACAGACCGAAACGCCCTTCTTATATCCCGCAAGAGAGCGTCTCAGTATGTGAGTAGCGTCGTGAGGCGATGCCGCGCGCTGATTGGTCGGCGGCATCGCGTGATCTGCTGCCGGTGTGCGCGGGGCGCAACGTGGTATGAAGGGGCGACGGGGCGGCGGCTCCCCTCGCCGTCCGTAACAGTGTGGTTAAATCTTGGTCTTCAATTAAATTCAAATGTTTAGTTTATTTTATTAAGATTAGAGGATAAACTTCATGTTGTTGAGCCGTTGAGCACTTTATCATGTATGTGTATATATAAGTGTGTATGGATGTATAGATATATATGGGTACATATGTAAGTGTATGTTTATGATTGCTTAAACAACGTACTATTATTTCCAAATAATAACTCATATTATGCTGATTCTGTCCCCACACTGAATATATTTCTTTAAGTTTTATGTATGACTGTCCGTGAAGCCAATATTAGACTCTATTTGAAAATCAGCGCAGCTGTCATTTAGTTCAGCAGCTTAGCTGAAATAGGGACCTAATTTGACTTTACTCAAATCCTGTTTTTTATATCTCGTGTTATTTTATTTATTTTTTTCTTTGTGGTGTCAAATAAAGTTTTCTTTCTTCTTTCTTTCTTCTAGTCCACTAAGCTGACCAAGTGCGGACTTAAGGTCATTTTGGAAAACTCAAGCGTGCAAGTTTCGTCACGATGTTTTCCTTCGCCATTTAACAATTAAAGTATTATAACTAAGAAATAAAACAAATTTCGTGTTATTATCATATATTTATTTATATTTTATAAGAGCAATTGTAGTCATAACCTCGAAGCTCAAGCGGCCTAACTCCAGGAATTCCCTTTGTAAAAGAGGTACTCGCTAATATATTTTATTTGGGGAGCTTTACAGCTACATTTACAATATAAATGACTATATTAAAGCTTATATGCCAATAAAAAGCTTTCCACGTATAGGCATATACATAAAGAACAAATCATTACTCAGACACACTACTTATGAAATCTATTGTAAGAGTAAATTTAATGTTCACAATACTATCACACAATAAGTCTAAATCGTTGCTTTCGGAATAGTTATTAAATAACCTCAAAGGTCTTGGTATAAAACTGTTACTTCTATCACAGAATAAATAATAGTACTAACGTCCAGAAGTTGCACTCCTTTGATGTTGACTGCTTGCCGACGTTTTAATAGCCTACATAGTTATTATTAATCAGATAAATCGCGCACGCAAGCTAAATGAAACTTTATCTCTGCGCGCGAGGGTCCGTATTACTTTGCATCTTTTCTCCTTACTACGTCACAACGGACTTTCCGTGGTTGCTAAAGGCTGTTAATAAAGAGTAAAAAAATACATTGTTACTTAGGTAAAGTACCTACGCTGATTATAATCGACCATATTACCTACTATGTGAGTTCTGTGATGCCTAACGCATGCAACTTGCAAGGCCATTCGTCGGTAAAATAAAGCCGAAAAACGATTCCTAGCAGAAATGCGATCGTAATTTACTTAGTTAAAAATCTTGTAAAAAAAGTTTTAATTTCAGTGTTTTGTGCGATTATAACTTAAAATATTTTAATTACCAAAACGAGTATAGGTATGTATATATTATAATATTAGCTTGGACTAAGTTTTGTAATAAAGTACTTAGGTATTACTTCTGTAGTTAAATTATTACTTAATTATTCGCTATAAGTACTTATCTAACAAAAAATGAAATAAATTTATTTATAGTAGGTACGACGTTTTGCCATTATAATTTATCAAATAGATAGGTAATATAGATATATGTATATTATTTTTAAATTACATTAAAACTTTTTCAACTATTTTATCCTACAATTAAATATACTAAACACTAAACAAAAACTATTTCGACGAGTATTTCAACAAGTATTTACAAAAAATTATTTACGTAAACAGCGTTAAAAAAAACCTTAACATTCAATCGTACAGAGCGCGTTAACCCTGACTGCGATCTACCCCTGGGGCAGCTCGCGATTTTCGGTAATTATTTCACGCAGGTAGCAAGAGTGACAGAGGCCTGCTTCTATATTTAGTATGACAATATGAAACATGGAGTAATACATTTTTGAGTAGTTTTTTAACAAGGGCTCTCAGTAAGATTTTACTGAGAAGCTCCTAACAATCCAGTTTCCTTTGTGCGACTTTTATTAGAAAGCAGACGTCAGCTATGTCTCTGTGTAAAAGTTACTAACTCTATATACGTCCCACTGCTCGGCACAGGCCTCCCCACATTTCTGAGAGGGTTTTAAAGCAAGGAAGTGTCCGCCGCGCTGCCCCAATTCGTGTTGGCGAACTTCACATGTCTTTGAAAAAATAAATAATAAGTAAGTGTTGCTATCGTAAAAATCTGAGTCTGCCGTATTTCATATTCTGGTTTGCCGAATTTTAAGAAAAGGAAAAACTAAAGTACCGTATTTCATATTTTCTTTTTAGAAATTATGTCTATTGCTCCTTTGCTTCACCTATCTAAAAGTTTCTTTTTTATGTTAGTAATTTGTCACTAGTCGTGGTAATATTGAAAGTTCACACCGTAATTTAACGTTGCACACGCTGCACTTTACTCTATACGTTATATCATTATCCACAAGAGCCATTCCAGTTTTTGAATAAATCCTCAGTCTCTCACAGTTCTATCTTCAGATATTTCTGTTCCTAATTTTTATCTTTTTGGCGAAGAAGGTCTTTCAGAGTCATTTTCAATTATATTATTGATTATTAATCAAAATTAAACACTGAATCTGAATTTATTTCATTAGCAACCGTAACATAATTTAAAAAAAAGTTAAATCAGGGTTAAATTACTTACGAGCGGTAACTAGACCATAGTAGACTCGTAGATGAAATATTTAATTATAATTTATGTTAACGTAACACATTGTCTCCATAGATTTAGTGTAAAAGATTGGCAGTGCAAAAGAGAAAGAACATATTATGCTAGAGCGAGAAAAACGCACGAGCTCATCCCTTGCGTGCCGACTTGTGTCGCCCTGTTATTCAAAATCAGTCACAGAGTCATGAGATTTGCTATCCTTTTCTATCATGCTATATTGCCCTAAGAAATTTTCTTCTCCGTTGCACACTATGGCGATCTATCGGTCTATATATTTTAAGTCTATGGTTCTTCCAGCGTATGTTTTGACAGATTATATATCATGAGTAGTTTATTGATCGCGTCTGTGGTCAACGGTTGCGTTCCGATTCTATGTTGGCATTGATGTTTGGAATTTGATTTGTACGTAAATTTTTGGTGTTATTCTATTTGTGTATTTTGCATTCATTATATTTAGATATTTCGCGTTTTTTTAAAGTTTATATGCAATTATTAAAATGAAATATCGTTAAAACTGTCTTATGCATAACTGCATTAAACACTAGATAAATTGTCTATGGTACTATTTATGAATTGTAGATAACTCCGCTAGGAGCTAGCATATATACAGTAATCTATGGCTAGGAGTAATAGTGTTCTGTGTTGTAGATCGAACCGTTTTTGCTGAATCACAGTTCGTAACAACTTTTTTACTTATCTTAGCACTTCCTCGAAACTTCCTCGAATGTCCTTTTTTGTTGATATTTTGACGCACGTCGGAATGAGAGAAATTAAAAGATGTTATATATCTTGCGCCGCGCTTGTTCTTGCATTTTTGCGCGTTAATGCTTATTAGACATCTACTCTGGCATTGGTGAACATGCCTGAGGCGCTACAGTTTCTATTTAATTCCAACACAATCCTCATGGCATTGTTATCTTGGATACTAGGAATCTGCCCCGGCTTCGCACGGGTGATTTCTGGATCTCGACAACAATGCCACTTACCGGGTCAAATTATGAATGCATACTATCCAGGCACCCATTAAAACACACCAAAAATTTCATCAAAATCGGTCAAACCATTTTCGAGCTTTTGCGGCAATTGAGTTTTTATGAATATCGATAGACAAATGGGAGTTCATCTATCGATATATATATATATATATATATATATCGATAGATGAAGAAGTCATCATCATTACAGCCCTTCACAAGTCCAATGCTGAACATAGGCCTCCCCCAAAGAATGCCACAAAGCACGGTCCTGAGCCACCTGCATCCATCGACTTCCTGCATGTCTTACCAGGTCGTCACTCCATCTCGTGGGGGGACGCCCTACACTTCGCCGATGAAGAAGTAGGAGGCGTTTAAGGTGACATCAAATAAAGTGCATAAGTCCTCGTAAAAACTTTATTTTCGCCGATATGAACAACCCTGAAACGAAAAATTAGTGTGCGGAGTGGAGAGTGTAGATGGAATCATTCAGCTCGGAGGCAGCGGTCGGAACACCGCTTGAGGCAGTCGGGGTCGTTGCGGCAATGCGCGCGACAGCTTGCTTGACAACGCGTCACTGTGCGCACGTTGCTGCGTGCGAGTTTCTCCTCAAACATCATACTGTGAAAAAAGAATAGTTCATGACAATCCTCTAGAGGGTGCTTCATTTAAAGTGACGTCACGTAGCCTATAACCGGCGGTCAACTAAGATGCCTCCAACGATACCGCATTTATCAAATTACCTTAAGTAGTATGGAAGTACTATAAAAAAGGTATGAGGGAACAGATAAACATACATACATATTATGTACATACCCACATACATACATACCGGTCAAAATCATAACCCCATTTTTGCTTCGCCGCAGTCGGGTGAAAAGTACACTTTATCGCAATTCTTTATTCGATTTCTTTAGTCAAGTAGGTAAATGATGTCTTATGTAACTTAAAATCGGTAAATTAAAATATAGCAGTCACAATATAATTTAAATAATTTCACATTTTATAAATGACTATAAAAGAAATCCAAATATTTTGTCTAACATTTCTTTTTCAAAAATTGCTGAAAAATTTATAAAATACATTAGATTTAAATACAAACAGCGACATTTACATTCTTTCTGGATTTTTGTCATTGTTTAATATTTCAAAATACAACAAATAAAGTAAATTAGTAAGTAGTGGTCGTGCTTCCCAATTTAAGTCCCAGAGACTGTTAATCCTGTTGCCACCAGTAAAGCACTTTATGCTCTTTGATCGTTCCAAATTACATGAATGAACTTAGCAGTATCAAAGAAATAGGGTGAAATGGTAAGATGCTGCTATTTTATCTTTCAATACAGTACACATCATAATCGTTTCCGTGCTCAAAATCGAATATTCCAAACCCGCTGTATGTGGCAAAGTTATTTAGGAGACGCTTAGTTTAGTTTAGTTTAGTTTACGACGGGCTGTTTTCCGCAACTCCACGTCTATGCGCGTATTTTGCGTGTGGGCAGGAATAATGTGATTATTCGAGCCATGAGATCTCTCCGAAGAAGCTCAACAGGCCCTTGATGTTGCATGCAACTTCGGGGAGTGATCCCGGCGTGCCGAGATGTTTAGCCCTGTATGTAGCGACCTCCGGACATTTCAGTAGCACGTGGGCCGCCGTTTCTTCCTCCCCCATACATGCCCTGCACAGGGGACTATCTGTAACACCTATAGTAAATAAATGTTTGTTAAAGGTGCCGTGTCCTGTGATAGCACTTGTTACTATCCTAATCTGCGGCTTGTTCAGTCTCATTAAAACTTTTGTTAAGCGACTATTAATTTCAGGCAGGGCATCCCTAGCTTGTCTACAGTCTACTAGATTTTTCCAAAGCTGAGCGTGTTGATTAGTGAAGTGTCTACGTACCAGTGAACAAACGTTACCAAAGGGGATTGGTATGATTGGTTCCGGCCCTATAGTGGCCAAAGCCGATCCTCTTCTAGCCAGTTCGTCTGCTGCATCGTTGCCTCTGGATCCACTGTGTCCCTTTATCCATTGCAGGGTCACATTGTTGTTTTTACATACCTCATTTAATCGTTGATGGCATTCATATATTAGTCCCGAGTTCACCACATTGCATCTCAGGGCTTGGAGTACCGCCCTACTGTCGGTCAGTATTCTGATGGGGAAGTCATTAACCTTCCTAGCATCTATTGCTATGGCCGCTTGAATGATACCCATACATTCCGCCTGAAAGACCGTGTTATAGGTACCCAGCGGTGTGCATATGTGAATATTGAGGTCTTCAGAGAAAGCTCCAGAACCTACACCTTCATTTGTTTTAGAACCATCGGTGAAAATTCTAAGCTCTTTTGGGCTTAATCCTTCCGGCTGGCTGTTTTCATTTAACTGTATCTTGTATTTCTTATCGAAAACAAATTGTTTAGGAATCCTATCGTATTTGGCTTGTAGGATAGGAATTTTTGAGTGAATTCTATCAATTATGCCTGTATGAGGGACACTATTCTTACTCCAAAGATTTAGGGTCTTGAGTCTGATGGCAGCTAAAGTCGCTTCTTGTTGTATATGTAGATGAAGCGGAGTTAGCTCCAGCATCGCTTCTAAGGCTGCTGTTGGCGTAGTTCTCATGCAGCCTGTGGCAGCCATACATGCCAGTCTCTGGTAGCGCTGAAGCTTTTTAATTATGGTGGCTTCATTTGTCTTGGTCCACCATACCAGAGCGCCGTATGTGATCATGGGCCGAATTACAGTTTTGTAAAGCCACAGTATGATTTTTGGCGTCAATCCCCATCTTTTGCCAATCATGTTTCTGCATTGCCAGAAAGTTATACTAGCTTTGTTGATTTTGTTTTCTATGTGTTTATTCCAATTAAGTTTGCTGTCCAAGGTAAGACCTAAATATTTTACCTCAGAGGATAGCTGGAGTTTTGTGCTAAAAAGACTTGGAGGATGATAGTTATTCAGGTTTCGTTTTTGTGTGAACATAACTAAAACCGTTTTATTTGGATTGACGGTTAAGTCGTGTTCCCTGCACCATCTCTCCACTATACGGAGAGCCGCTTGGGTCAGGTCGCACACTATGCTTGCTGTCTTTCCAGAGACCAGTATTGTCAGGTCATCAGCATAACCTACTGTATAGAAGTGATTGTCATTTAATTTGCTGATGAGTTCATTAATGACCATATTCCACAGGAGAGGTGAGAGAACCCCACCCTGCGGGCAGCCTTTCTTAATTTGGATTGGTTGAGATTCACCAGCAATCTTTATTATTCGTGTACTGAGCATGTAAACTATCCAGTCGATCAGTGCCGGTTCAACTTTGTGTCTACCGAGTGCACCTTTTATGCTGGAGAAGTTCGTTCGGTCAAAAGCACCTTCTATATCTATGAAGGAACCCAGACATATTTCTTTGTTTTGGATGGCCTCTTCAATCTTTGTAATTACCTTATGAAGGGCCGATTCTGTTGATTTGCCTAGACTGTAGGCGTGTTGCTTGTCGTGTAGTGGTAAGTTCATTAGCGCCGACCCCCTAATTCCCTTTCACACATCCTCTCCATCGTCTTTAGGAGAAAGGATGTGAGGCTAATGGGCCTGTAGGATTTAGGGTCAGTGTAGTCGCTCTTACCTGGTTTGGGTATGAATGTAACTTTCACTTCGCGGAGACGCAGGAGCAGGACGCAGGAGACGCTTAAAAAGTTAGTATCTATTCTCCAGAGAAGATTCTTGTTTGTCTACGTTTCGCACTGATAACTTCCAGGCACGGCATTGATATAAAGTTTTTCTTTTTATAAAATTACTGTGACAAACGAACACAAAGTCCAGCTGATGGTAAGTGCATGCTGTATATACCTCTACATATATCCTCGATTAAGAATCAAAATGCAGATGCGTTGCCACGCTTGAAGACTAAGATGGAATGTCTCGTTTCCAGTAAAAAAAGTCTCCGGTTCTCTACACTCACCATACAAAACACAGCAGCATTAAGCTGCTATTTTAAGCTGGTGTTCTGTGAGAGCGTGGTCCTACCCCGGTCGAGCCGACCCATTCGTGCTACAACTATACAATTAATATACATGCAGCATTGCTCTACCACGTAAAAACAACAACCTATATTATTTTATATTTAATTCTTCTATTAATAGGATCCTTTATGAAATGAAATATTTATTTGCGTTTGGTTAAGGTACATTGAAGATGGTTATAGTTATCCGCTTAATCAGACATTATTAATAGCATGCAAATCTTTAAAACTATAAAATATCGGGATAATAATATTTAAGGATAGTGTAGTTTATATATATCTAGCTTAGTTACGTAGTAACTTAACTAATGTGTGGTTTGACTTGGACTAACCTAACCAACCCTGTACTCGTATTCGCTAAATGCGATTCTAGGCTAATTTTTTAATTATCTTTTTACCTATTATAATCAAGTGTTTGAACACATCCCGTCTGGTGGTAAGTGGTGAAGAAGCCCGAGATGGTAAATCGAACTGTCTTAGCGCAACAAAAGTATGTGAATTAGTAAACAGTGTGAATTTGTGTTATTGGAACGAAGTTCCCTATCGGACGGTACGGATGTGGCGGATGGGGGCTAGGCGACACAAAGTGTAAGATTTTTCCATCACAAACCCTTCTGACGTACAAGTAGTGTAGACGGCTTTGGCGGCTATAAGGAAACGAGATGGAATAATATTGTTACGAACTTGGGGTTCGAGACAATTAAAAACTGCCGATTGAATTACCAAAATTGACTCTTTAATTACAGAACACTAATTAGAACTTAGAAACACACTAATAATAAAACACAATTGCACTACTGATCGCTTTAGTTCGCAGTTATATCACTTCGAGGTATTCGCTTATATCGCCAATTCAATACTCACTCGGTTGTGGTCTATACAGGCCTTATATAGGGCCTCAGATAGTTTCCATAACCTTCTACTATAGAAACATCTAGAATGTTCGAGTACATATCGGTCCCGAAATTTCTAGAAGGATCTTGACTCTCCTAGTTATGCTACTCGATACTAGAGGGCGCTAGGGGTAACTAGTGTTGCCATGTACAAGACATTAATAGTGGCGCGCAACAATATCCATCTCCCTCGCACGTTTTCTTATCTTGCCGTGATAGAAATTTTATTTTAAATTGCGCTTCATTTTAATAGACGCTAGTAATTAATTCATTTGTATTTGTTCATCAATAATGTAATACGTTTATCAATAATGATATACTACGAAAGGAACTTCGTTCCAACCGAGTGTTCCACGACACTCACGCATGTTTTTATATTTATTTAAAAAAACGTTACCCCTACACTAGGATTTTCTCCTGTATCGTGGGGTTTAAGTTTACATATATAAATTGCCCAAGGACATCCAGACCCGTAATAATTATTTGTACGCCATACAAATACTTCTTCCGCGCGGGATTCGAACCAGAGATCCTCAGCGATGCAGCTCATTGGCCACTGCGCCACGGAATGTCTAAATATTAATATGATACAAACGAAAGACTTACCTGTCTATGAAGGGTACTGACGTGCACGTGGCAGCATCACAATGTAGGACGGGGGGCGCCACAGCTGCCATTAGCGATCCATCCTCGCCTACCACGTATGGCACGTGGTCGAGGTACACGTTGTCGAATAAGCACGCGCGCTTCATGTACTCTTCTGGGTGAGTGAACAACGTTGGTGGAATACCTGGTTGGGGGATGTAAGGGAGAATGTAAAAACATTTATCCAAATGGCGTTTCAACGGTTGGATGGATTCTAAGACTTTGATTATGGCGTTGACTGTTTATAACCGTTACCGTTACAACCTATTAAAGTCCACTGCTGGACATAGGCCTCGACCATATATTGCATTATAGAAGGTGGGCAGCCGCAGTTTTTTTTATAGAAATGGGGTGACAAGCAAGCACACAGCCCACCTGATGGTAAGTGATTGCTGATGCCTATATACATCTACATCTATCCTCGATTGCGAATCAAACTGCAGATGCGTTGTCAGCCTTGAGGATTAAGATGGAATGGCTTTATTCCAGTAAACAGGGTCTCCGGTTCTCTACACTCACCACACGAAACACAGCAGCGTTAAGCTGCTATTTCACGCTGGTATTCTGTGAGAGCGTAGTCCTTCCCCGGTCGAGCCCACCCATTCGTGTCACAACTATACTATAAATATAGCTGCAGCTTATCTCTTCCACATAAAAAAGAAGAGATTTTAGACGTTATAGGAAGACGCTGTTGCTCAACTGATTTCTTTCCTTCTGTTACCTCTTAGGACACCCACGGGATGATGTGGGGTAGTGGATATTCCTACACCGTCACTACACGGTCATAACAATCTGAATTAATACGTGAAGAAAAAACTTTTTATCCCTTTTTAAGCATATTACGCACACACTGAGGTTTTTGAGATTAGCTTAGATTTGAGATAGCTAAAATGTATATAAGATAAGTACAAACACATTAAATAAATTAAAATAAACCATTCACTGTTTACGTTCATACTGCCAATGTGAACACACATAATAGTCTATAGTCAAACATTCGCACAGAGTAGAGATTGTTGTCGAAGAGTTTTAAAATGTTGGCAACAAATAATTTCTGACACACTACAATATAATTGAATGTGATTTCATATGTTCCTTTTTCAAGTTAGTCTGTGTGTATGTTGTTCTTAGTCTGTGGAGTGTATGTCAAGGCAAAAAAGCGTTTCTTTTATATTTTATATACCTGTGATTTGTATACATATTAACGTGCAGTTGAAAGTTAAATACAGCTTTCTTATTATAGAAACTTAAAAATGTAATGTAAGCAAACGTCAAATATCAATGAAAATTGATATTTGACGTTTGCTTTCATTGTACTGTGTAAACCTTCGAGCATAGAAAATGTTCTTTCCTATGCTCGAAAGTGTAAACTTATCAGTATCGATGACAAGCCGATGTATAAGAGGTTTCCTATTCGACTGTAGGTATTTTGTAGTTTTTTTTTAATAGAATATGGGGGAAAAAGGAACACATAGTCTACATGACAGTGAACGGTTGTTGTGGCCCATAGACATCTACATCTATCCTCGATTAAGAATCAAAATGTTGAGTTGTCACCTCTGAGGACTAAGATGGGATACCTCGTTTCTGGTGTTTTCACTCAGGTTCTCTACATTCTCCATACGAAACACAGGTGCTATAATATGCTATTTTGTGAGAGCATGGTCCTTCCCCGGTTGAGTCGATCCATTTGTGCTGTAACCATTATATAGCTACAGCACGGCTCTACCGTGTAAATAATTCGGTCGGCATTGGAAAAATGCCAGACCACCACAAGATGAATGATTGATTCTCTACTACCAATCGCTCTTACCGACAGTAAAGTACCGCGTGTTGCACATGTGCTCCTGAATCAGTTCGGAGCGGTTCCCGAACCATCCCACCAGCCACTTCAGGTCCTCGAACTTGGTGATCTCGTCATTTATCACCTTCCGTGTCAGACGCAGGTACTCCACGTCCGCTTCGATCACCGATTCGTCTTTATCTTCGCCGTAGCTATTTAGTAAGGACAGAAAAATATATTGAACTAGCTGGCCCTGCAGATGTTGTTCTGTCCTTTCCGGTAGGTGGCGTGATTAGTTACATTTCGGACTTTTTTTAATCCAACAACGACGCCATCTTTTTGGCACTAAACCAATATCAGATATGTAGTGAAAATATAAAATGTATTAACTAATTAACTACAGCGCCACCTGTCGGACCTTAATATAGTTATAAACCATCGTCTCCATCTAAAGCTAAAAATATATTTTAGGATTTTACTGCGTTTAATTTAACTTAATTTTAATTCCCGACGTTTTGTGAATTATAGCACGCATGGTTATGAAATAAATGGGAACTTAATGCTGCTGTGTTTCCTATGGTGAGTGTAGAGAACTGGAGATCCTTTTTACTGGAAAAGAAGCATTCTATCTTACTCCTCACGGCTGACAACGCATCTGCATTTTAATTCGCAAACGAAGATAGATGTAGATGTCTATGGGCCACAGCAACCGCTTACCATCAGGTGGACTGTGTGCTCGTTTGTCACCCTTATTCTATAAAAAAAATATTACAAGCTAACTGTTCCCCACGACTTTGTCCGCGTGGAATTTACTACGACTGGATTTCATGGGTTTTAATTTTTTTCCGCCGAACCCTAATTTTTTTCTTCAATAAAAGTAGCTTAAGTTACTCCATAAAACAATAGCTATCTGCCAGTGAAAATATCATCAAAATTGGTCCAGCCATTACGGAGATTAGCCGGAACAAACAGACAGACAAAAATACTGTACCACATATACTTCCGTATGCATTAAGTAAAAAGCTGTTAATTTGACATTACAAACAGATACTTCAATTTTATTTTCGCTTGATCGTAAGTGGTTACTGCACCCCATGGATACCTGCTACAAACTTCAAACAAAGAAAACCACATCTGCAGGGCTAGCATGGGCTGGAGACAATTTTATTCCTGCGGAAAGGAGAAAATGTTTATCCCCTCATTTAGTTTTATCCACCCTTCGAGCATGGGCACACCGGTGGATATAATATCCACAGTAGATAAAATGGGAGATAGACTTAGACTTAGATAGATATTTTGTATGAATATAAAAGTAAACCCACGTCCAATGAACTAGGATAAAATTGTCCCTTTCAAATGGCTCCATTCTACGGACGAGGGATATATGTATGCATATCTACTCGTTATGTCAAACGGGGATATACTTCTCCTCGTTTCCGAGCTTTGGCGTAAGGACAAGATAATTTTATCTCTTGTCAGTATAATATATAATAGGGGGATAAATTTTTGTCCCTAACCCATGCTAGTCGTGCTGAGGACTAAGATGGAATACCAGACCTGGTATCAGTGAAAAGCACTGATAATAAGCGGGACAAATAGGTAAGACGATGGAACCTACCCAGACTCCTTGGCAGATTAATAATTATGCAACCTTGTAATAATATTAATAATAATAATCCTCCAGAGCGAATTTCAGTCACAGCGGCCAGCCTCAACGGAGACTAGCCATTGGCGCAGGACAGGATTATAGTGCCCGAGTGTATGTGCAAGCACAGGTGCACTCTCTATTGCCTCACTCTCATAGTCCCATGGGACGGGAAACCGACACGACCGGAGAGAGTTCAGGCGCAGGAGCAACGGATTTATACTTTCCGAGGCACGGGGGTGAGACACCAGTTATTGAGATCCAGTTTAATTTTAAAAAAGAAGAAGGCTGTGAGGCGTTTCTTCTAAGTGTTCAGAGGAGATACCGTGTAGTAGCGGTATGAGAATACCCACTACCCCATATCGTTCCGTGGGTGACGTAAGAATCGACAGTAGGAAACAAATCAGGAGATGGACAGCAGCGTCTTCGTAATAACGACTTAAATAAAAAACTAGCGGTTGCCAACCCGCTTGCCAAGCGTGGCATCTGTGGCAAATATCCCTCCTATGACATAATGTGTGGGGGAGGCCCGTGGACTTCAGCAGTGGACTTTAATAATCTGTAACGGTAATGTTTCAGAGGAGACGCATCTTAGTTTTTTGTTAGAAGTCGCTTGTAGTTTTCTATGGTCCACAACAGCCACATCCCATCTAGAAATAGATATAGCCTTACTTCCTATACTGCATTTTAAGTATAGCTTCTGCCATGTGAATCCTGAATATGACGCCGGGTCTCAAGTGGGCTTGGTACAGGTCCTTGGGCATCTCCACGAAACTTGACTCCCAGTCCTGTAAGGAAGATATGTATTTACAAAATGATGTTATGTGCCACTTGTTTCCTGGGGAACTGAGCGGCTCCTTTATTGATGAAGTCACGGATGCCTATAGATGTACATCTTATTGCTGCTTTCCGTCACCTTTCTCAATATTTTAGGTCAGGTGTAATAATGATGGTTATTTCTTCATCTTTTTTTTTAAATGTTACCCCCAGCCCCACTAGGATTTTCTCCAGTATCGTGGAGGCAGTTTACAAATACAAATTGCACAAGGACAAACCTCCAGATCCGGAATAATTATTCGTACGCCATACAAATGCTTGTTCCGTGCGGGATTCGAACCCGCGGCCCTTAGCGCTGCAACTCATTGCTACGCCACTGCGCCACGGAGCTGTCAATCTTCTTTTATAAACTAAAATAAAAAACGTCCACCCGATAGGAAGTGACTTCTGTAGTCTTAGGACATATTTTTCATAGAAATAGGATAACAAGCGAGCACACAGCTCACTTGATGTGAGGTATATGTGGTCTATAGATTACTCGTATACATGGTAGAGCTATGCCTCAGCTATATTAGTAGTATAGTTGTAGCACGAATGGGTCGCCTCGACCGGGGAAGGACCATGCTCTCAGAGAATGCCAGCGTAAAATGGCAGCTTGACACTGCTGTGTTTCGTATGATGAGTGTAGAGAACCGGAAACCCATTTTATTGGATCGAGGCATTCCATCTTAGTCCTCACGGGTGACGACACATCTGCATTTTGATTCTTTATTGAGGATAAATGTAGATGTCTACGGGTCATAGCATCCACTTACTGGTGGACTGTGTGCTCGTTTGTCACCCTATCCTATAAAAAAGACATCTACATCTATCCTCGATTAAGAATCAAAATTGCAGATGCAGCAGCAATATCACGTTGGTATTTTGTGAGAGCGCGATCTTTCCCCGGTCGAACTGACACATTCGTGCTACAAACTATAATTTAGATTATATATTCGCGCGCTCAGACTAGATACCGCCGGCGCTCTTGTAAAATGCGGCAACAAATACTACGCCATAATCGGCGTACCCGAGTCAGTCGCGTTGCAGGCGATATGTGATGTGGACGTACCGAATATTTTATTAAATTTTGATCATAATCCGAAGTAAAATACCAGTTTGCGTAGTGAAACTGTGTAAAAATAATATTACAAGAAATAAGAAAGACACTGGGATCACATACTATCAGTAAGTATCATACAATTTCGAAATTTCAACATAAAATAACAAGAGCCATAAATAAGTTACAAAATATGAAAGACGCCATTCAGTGTTGCCGCGTAAACAAAAATAAAGTTCCCCGTGGCTGAGATTTTTATATGTGAATTTATTGTTACTATATTTTATAATATAATATATTTAACTTATTATAATATAACCTAATTCTATATTATTTAATGTTATTCTTATTATTGAAACATTATTTCCGTTTATTAGGGTTCCGTGCCCAAAGAACGTCAACGGGACTTAAGTTACCACTATCGTTCCGCCTGTCTGTATTTTATGAACCGTAATATGTAGATACTTGAAATTTTCACAGAATGTGTATTGGCTATAATTGATATAACAACATATAATAAAAATAAAATTTTGGTTACACCATATAATATATAACTATTTTTTTAAATAATTTGAGAATATTAGTCAGACATTTAAATATAAAAATTAAACTGATAAAAATGAGGCCTTATCATTTATATGTCATTTATTCAGAAGAAAAACCTATACATGATATACATAAATATATTGATACATTCGCTATTAATAAATTATTAATTTTTAAGTATTTCTGGTCTACATTCATAATTATGAACTTAACTACTAAGCCATAGCATAAAATAATTTTTCCCGTTAATCGGGTAATAGTTAAGCTGCTGGCATATACAATTTTTCATGCACACTAGCATCCTTGCAATTGTCTTATATACACTAGAATATTGAGTTGCCGCATTCACGGAGATGTTTCTTTCAGGTAGTGCGGTATCTAGTCAGAGCGCGCGATGACCTATTATTAATCTATGAACTATAATATAGCTACGTGCGCTACAACATATAAAAATTTCATTCTAAAGTGTACCTTAACTGGTGGTTCATAGGTATCATAACTGGTACTGTCCTTCTTCTTGTTGCGTTTGTGCTTGGAGCGAGTCTTCTTACCGTCTGACATGTCAGCACGTCTGGCCGTTGGGGAATCGGTGGATGAAGAGTTCTTCAGCTGGACAGAAATGAAAATGCCTTTAATAATTAAAAATTAAAAATTTTTTACAACCGATTTCAATGTAAATTATTAAGAATAAATCAAAAACTATTGGTCAAAAATAAAAACATATAGTCGAAATGAGTACCGTCTCCTTTATGAAGTCGGTAGATAAAGCTAAGAACACACACTACTGTAATGTTAGATTACCTCGTTATCGGGTGCGGTTGAACTGCGCTGTCGGTTTCGCCGTCGGCCCATGTGTCCTCGACGCTTCTTTGCAAATAAACAATAGAATTTAAATTAAAGATAGGAATGCTGCAGCTATATTGTGGTTGTAACACGAATGGGTGGTCGACTGGTTAGGACTACGCTCTCACAGAATACCATCGTAAAATAGCAGTTTAACGCTGCTATATTTCGTATGGTGAGTGTAGAGAACCGGAGACCCTTTTTACTGTAAACGAAGCATTCCATCTCAGTCCTCAGGGATGACAACGAACATGCATTTTGATTCTTAATTGACGATAAATGTACATATTTATAGGGTACGGCATCTAACTTACCATCAGGTGGACGGTGTGCTCGTTTGTCACCGTTATTCTATAAAAAATGGTGGGGTACATTAATTTCTTTAACTGCAACACTTTATTATTTTTAGTCCATAATCAGTTCACTGTTCGGTTCAACTCTCATTAGCAGTCGTCATACCAGATGTCGGAACTCCTTCATGCTGCTTGACATTTTCAGATTGAGTATTTTTGTGTTTGGTATTGTTACGAGCTTGGGTTCAAAACAATTAAAAACTGCCGAGTGAATTACCAAAATTGACACTTTAATTACAGAACACTAGTTCTAGAAAGTTCTTCCATGGAAATTTCTAGAAGGATCTTGACTCTCATAGTTCTGCTACTCGATACTAGAAGGCGCTAGTGATAAGTAGTGTCACCATGTACCATGCATTAATTGTGGCGCGCAACAGTATATTAAAAAAATATACTATATTTAGGAGATGATTCTATACGATTGCCAGCCCCCGTTTCAAGTTTTAGAGTTTTAGAAGTTTGATTAGATTAAATGTAAAGGATATAGGATGAAAATAATCTGTAGCAATATCTGATTACAAAAAAAAAACAATGTAAACACGAAATGTAGTTTGTCTTAATGTGACAACAGCAGAGTGAATGTCGAATATGTGCGATATTGTCTTGTCCTTTTTTAAAGTTTTCAAATTAGGGTACAAAACCAATTTTTGGGTCTAAAATAGAGGACGTTTTTTAACATAACGGATGTCTGGCAACAATATGGTTGTAGCGCCATCTACTGAGAGGAGGACGTATTAAATATTCTCTTAAAGTGGCGGCACCAAGTGAATTCTGCATATTATGCCGGCTTTTCTCTCACATCCTATTTTCTATCACTGGAAGGAACAGTTCAAAACTGCCTCGAAACATCTAGAATGTTCGAGTACATATCGGTCCTGATTGACTAGATGTCGATAGTTCCAGAAAGTTTTTCCATGGAAATTTCTAGAAGGTTGTTGACTCTCTTACTTCTGATACTCGATACTAGAGGGCGCTAGTAGTATTAATTGTGGCGCGCAACACTATTGCCAGCTTGTATGCCAACTTAGTACGATTACGGCGAATATCCTCACTTCTACACATGGGTGCCGCCAGGATTACTATCAGGGAGATACATCTGCATTATAATATTATACTATTTATATTTTATTATACTATTGACTTAAGGTCTTCGCGCATGCGCGACTACTACTCCCGCGCATACGCGAAGACATAGAGTAGCGCACAATTTTTGTTTGGAATGGTTTCTCTAGTACGTAGTACATATAACTCAATGATACTAAATTTATTGATAAGGCAATGAACAAATTTGGACAGAAACCTAGACTTAGTAGCCTTCAGGTTTTTTATTTATATTTTCATTGCTGGCAGGGGGGTGCAAGTGCACCCGCTTGCACCCTGCTGCCGGCGCCCATGCTTCTACATGCTTGTCGGACACATAAAATATAAGTTGCTACGTTTACGTCGTGTCAATCATATGGAGTTCCAAATATGAAGTACTCTTAAATTACTTGTAGTTTAAATAATTAAATCTTATGACAACAAACTAATTGGAAATTGCTTATGACTAATATACCGTTACCATTATACTCTGTTAAAGTCCACTGCTGAACGTAGGCCTTCCCCATAGATTGCCTCATAGGCGGCAACGGCAGTTTTAAGTCGTTATAAAGAAGACGCTGCTGCCCATTGAGTTATATGTACTACGTACTAGATAAGCCATTCTAAACAAAAAATGTGCACTACTCTATGTCTTTGCGATAGCGCCGCTCCACACTGCATGTATATTGAAACCACAGACTAACTAGTAGATTGAAACCACACTAAATGACACACTGTGCGGATTGCAGTACAGTTCAATTGAACATCGTGTATGTTCGGAATGCGAAATCTAGTGCGTAGTAAATATATATCGATGCTGTTGCCCATCTTCTGATTTGTTTCCCTCTGTCGCCTCTTACGACACGCACGGGATGATATGGGGTAGTAGATATTCTTACACCGCCACTACACGGTAATTAACATAATTCGTATTAAATGAATCATAGATATAATTTATTAGAATTAGACATGAATGTTATGCACAGGAACAGGATAAAAAGACTACATAAACAGATTAAAAATCAGTAAATTACATTTGTAAAACAAAAAAGTCGAATTGTGGCACTTTCATATTCTACTACGTTATGATTTATTTAATGGATAATTTTTATCTGAAGGTAAATAATAAGTTTTTTTATAGGATAAGGGTAACAAGCGAGCACACAGTCCACCTGATGATGGTAAGTGGTTGCTGTGGCCCATAGACATCTACATCTATCCTCCATCGGACTGAGATGGAATGCCTCCTTTCAAGTAAAAAGGGTCATCGGTTCTCTACACTCACCATATGACACACAGCAACATTAAGCTGCTATTTTACGCTGGTATTCTGTGAGAGCTTGGTCCTTTGCCGGTCGAGCCGATCCATTCGTGCAAGATATTTCAATAAATAATGGAATAAGTGGTACCATTTTATTATTTATACTCACTATATGATAGTTAATGTCTTTTTGTGTGTATATAAATAAATAAAAAAAGTATGACAGAGGATGCAGGGAAGTCGATGAATGCAGATGGCTCAGGACCGTTTTGTTGCATTCCTTGGGGGAGGCCTATGTTCATCAGTGGACTTGTACAGGTCTGTAATGGTAATAATGATGTTCAAGCAACTACGGAGTAAGAAATAAGAAGTTGTAAGTATAGTAGATATTTAAAAAAAAAATACAAAATATTGCAATCAAATTTTATTACTCTCAAACTAAATCACTCCTCAACGTCCTTTGGTTCAGTAATCGAATCGACGAAAACTATCGAATTGCATTCAGCTGCATCGCACTGTAACATCGGGGGAACTTCCACAGGAGTCACGGAGTACTCGTCACCAATGACGTACGGGTTCCCGTCGATCCAGAGGGAATCGAAGAGGCAGTAGATGTGAACTTTGATGGTCATGTAGCTGATGAACTTGTAGATTCTTCCACCGCATTCGCCCAAATGTTCTTTAACGCTTCTGTCAGTTTTGTACATCAGCAGCAAATTGTGGAATTTTGTAATTTCATCCATAACCACTTTCTTTATTAAGTTCGTGTAGATTATATCGGATTCGATGTGCCGTTCCGGGTCTTCGTACATGCGCTGCTTTATCCGGAGTATAGCGTCCGACATACGGACGCGGAATATGACGCCGGGGTTCATTTGGTCCGGCAGGATGCCCGGTTTCTTCGTCGTCGTTGTGAACTCGAGCACGCGATCTTTTATCGGCTCCGGGTAGAGGTAGTGGTTGGGGCGTTCTCGAAGCTTCGGTCCGTTTAGCGAACCGAATTTTCTCGTGTTCTGCGGCAGAAAATTGTCATGTTGTCACTGCTGATATTTTTCCAGTTGGAAGTTGTTTAATGGATTGGATATTTTGAAAGTCCAAATTCCAACATAACTCCGCGTTATCCATAGAGTTCCGATTCTAGTGTTTTTAAAAGAATGTCTATAGATGTTTGTATGTTAGTTAGTTTGTACGTTCGACTTGTTGTGGACTTTTTCTCGCATATCTCAAGAAATAATGATATCGTCTCCAAACCATTTCATTCGACGCTTAATGGCGCAGTCAATAGCTGATTTAGTTTTTTTTAAAATCGATTTTGTCATTAGCCTGACACATTCCATTTGATAAAAAAAAAACGTTAAAAATAAATAAATGACGGTTTTAAAATGGTATTTAAAAAAAATTGAATCGTCTTTATCATCCGATCTTGGCTAGCCGTAAACTAATCCCAGATATATAATGTTACATACATTAAAAAAGAACATAAAGAATTAATGCATTTTATTATTTTAATGTTGATTTAAATGGATTTAATATTAAGAACATAACGTTGTTAGGCAGTGCTTTTAAAGAAAATAAAAATATCTCTTTCTATTTTATGTTATCCTGGTTTTTTACCACGGCAAATAATATAATTTAAATAAAATTAAAATAAAACCAACCATTTTCCAAATAAAAAAAATATTTTTTTATGCTCGTATTTTCTGAAATAAAGTTATTTCTGTAAGTTTGAATATTGATTCTGATAACGTACTTAGCGGGAAACCACAGGATTTTTGCTACATGAAGTATAATCGTATTATGCACGTCCACAAATTATGGAAAAGAGGCGAATGGACTAGGGAACACTTAAAGTTAAAATGAATTAGAGATTCTCACCTTAGCTTTCCTCTTGATCCTGTTGTGGTCCCGAGCGTCGTCATGATTGTTCATGAACGCGTCCAGCGAAGGCCAGTCATATGGCATCCCTGAGTTGTCTGATTTCTCCTGTATGCCCTCATCCTGTTAAAATTTACAATATGTTTAATCACATAAATCATCAGTGCTCTTGGTAGCGGTGTAAGAAGCTCCACTTTCATGCAAGAAAAATGCTGGTAGTTTATTTTGCTGGAGAGCTCTTGTCTTTCTAAATTTGAAGGAAAGTGGAATATTTACAGACAATTGCAGAAGACCCGGTAGTATGACTTTGATCCCTTGAAAGAGAGGTTGGAGAAGAAAGCACAATTGTGCATACGTGCTTAGACACATTGGCAACCTTTCATCTTAGAGGTACCTCGTCTGGAGCCGGGGAACCATCACAGATGGCTGAACTGAACAAGTGGCGCAAGTATGAGTCTCTGAGAGACACATATGTGCCATTTACAAGTACTGTAGTCTGTCTATCCGTTGGGTCCACGTGCGGTTGCGTACCTAAAGGAGCAGTATCCGTGACATGTCATCGCCGCTGGTGATTCTTTTTTCGCTCAAAGGCTAAATTATTATTCATCGAGGCAACGCAGCCAGCGTTTTGACATTATACTACGGGGAGTGGAACTCATTTTTACAGCAGCGACGACCGGTCGCGTACACAACTGACGACTCCGTGGCGCAGTGGCTTATCAATGAGTTGCTGCGCTGGGGGCCGCGGGTTCGAATCCCGCACGGAAGAAGTATTTGTATGGCCTACAAATAATTGTTCCGGGTCTGGATGTTTGTCCTTGTGCAATTTGTGTTTGTCTCCATGATACAGGAGAAAATCCTAGTGTGGAGGTTTTTAAAAAAAAATTCCTTAAGGAACTTTATTTCAAGTGGACTCCACGGAACGATAGTCTCTAATGGCACATATGTATATCTTTCAGAGACTTATGTTTTCGAACAGTAATAAAAAATCCAAAATTTTGGAATCTCCAAAAGTGCACGCCTCATGAACGTTTTTTTTAAATCAAAATTTCATTTAATTTTGATGAAATAAATAAATATCTTCTAACGTCTATGAGTCTGATAACAATCAGCAATAGGGATCCTGAGGATAAGCGAAAACTAATTTGGAAAGATTTATTCAAAAAAAAAAACGTGAAGGCAAACAAGTGCACAGACTAACTAACTACCGTACTAATAATTTTTTATCTACATTTTTTGTAAATATACCTAAAAAAATGAATAAAAAAAAAGTGTGCGTGTACTTAGTACGCACGTAGGAAGTTATACTTCTTTAGCGTAACAAAACAAAAAAACTTGAGAGGCAATTGAGATTACCTATTGAAGTTGTCACTTTTAGGTGTCAGTGTGCGCGCGCATTGTAACAACTTCATAGTGTCGTTTTTAGGTGTCGGTGTGCGCGCGCATCGTAAAAATTCACTTTCATCATTTTTCCTCTAAAAGCTTTAAAAGAAGTATAACTTCAAAAATACACTGAATTTATAATTTAATTTATCTAATTTTCCCTTTTTCTTTTATAGATTTTGTGTCTAAATTAAGATTTTGGAATATAAAAAGGTCACATAGCGGCATGTCGAGAGTAGAGCGCTCCCACACACTCGTACGTGATGAGGTGTGCAATATTGAAAAAATAATTATGTTGATCTATAGTTTCTTTGTAATATCATTATCATTACAACCCTTCTCAAAGTCCACTACTGGACATAGGGAGGCTTATACCAGGGAATGCTATAAAAATGTCCTAAGCCACCAGCATCCATCGATTTTTTCCGTTTCTTACCAGGTCGTCATTACACATGTAGTAGTCTCACTACGCATCGATTACTGGTACAAGGCTGCCACTCAGAAACATTTCGACCCTGTCGCTTGTCGGTCTACGAGCTATGCAGGGTTATTTTTCAAAGAGCGGCCAATTTTTAAATTTATGTTCAAATATATAAATTATGATATACCTTTATTGCAGTTTTTGTAAATACGAGTAAATAAGGCATCTATTGTTATTTGAAAACAACGTTTTTGCCTGCCGATCGACCCTTTCTAATGCGTGCGCAGTAAAATCAGTTAAAATTACCACGGATTTAATTTAAAAGACAATAATTTAAAATTAAAAATTTTGTACAGCCGACTTCAATATAAATTATTAAAAATAACTCAAAAACTGTTGATCTGACCTTCATCAAATTTATATGGGACCACATGTGAAGTACCAGCTTTCAAAAAGAATCATCGAAAGCGTTTCACCCAGTAAAAAGTTATGAGGTGACACACATAAAAAAAACATACAGTCGAATTGAGTGAGTCTCCTTTTTAAAATCGGCACAAAAGGCAGAATGTTTGAATTTTTTTTATTAATTTTTCTTCACCATTTGCCTATATTACTTATTCTGAACCTTCTCTGCAAATTTGGCCGGTGGTTGCAAAATAACCCAGTATAGTGGGCTCATTGCCACTTCTGTGTACTGATCTGTTGGGCTATGTCGGTCACCCTGGTTCTGCTGCAAATATCATCGTTGCGTCATAATTCACTTAACGACGTTAAGCTTTCTCATACTGCCAGCAGTGAAGGACCGTGGTCCTTCATACTGGACCCTCCATCGGGGATCAGTTCCAAATGGCATCACTAGCAACACGTCCTGTTTATATACCTACTCTTCTTTAACTTTTTTGAGTTAATTTCTAAAATATACAAGGCAATAATCAAAAATCCAGGATTATTAAGGAACTAACAAGTTGTACCTTGGTGTGCGCAATTTTCTTCGGCGTCATAAAATGGACGGGCTGATCGTAGACGTCATCTTTCAACTGAAATGTGATGAAACTGTTTTGATAATCTTCATAATCTAACCAACCAACCCGAATACATTTAACAATGTCAATGCATTTACTCGTAGGTACAACCTAATTCCTAAAAATTATACAGGGTTATTATTATATGTTTTCCCTTTTTACTGGAAATGAGGCATTCCATCTTAGTCCTCACGGGTGACAACGCATCTGCATTTTGATTCATATTCGAGGATAGATGTAGATGTCTATGGGCCGCAGCAACCACTTAACATCAGGTGGACTGTGTGCTCGTTTGTCACCCTTTTCCTTAAAAAAAAAATACTTTCATATTCATTTAGTAAAAAAACTGTTATTTTAACATTACAAACAAACAATTCAATTTTATTTATTTCTATAGATAACCATTGGATATAAGATTATCGTTGCAAGCTGTTTCTTAAATAAGTTTTGTAAGTATTTGTAGGTACAACTTGTGTTTGTCTGTACATAATTGAAAAAAAACCTTGAAATTAGTCCAGTAGGGTTGTTTTAGCTGGTTCTTCCCAGGACAGTGTATGCGTGCGCGCGTAATATCAATTTTGCCTGTTTTGTTTCACATGTAAATACCAGTATCTATATTTGTTTTATTGTAAATACTCCTTATATTATTTATTATATGCATTTATACAAAATGTAACAAAAACCCTGTGGTTCCCGTTAAGTACCTTATCAGGATCAGTATTCAAACCTATAGAAATAACTTTTTTTTTATAAACTCGATCAATTGTTTTTTATTTTATTAAAAAAAAATATTTTATGTGGTTTTATTACCTCTTAATGTCACTAGCCGATGTCACTAAGTAAAGCGGGGTCTTTGACAATCCTCATACTCTCCCAGACAATGCAGAGGTAATAAAACCATATTATACAATTTGCATACAATTTTTAAAAAAAATAAAATATATTAAATATTGTTCGAGTTTTTAAAAAAAAGTTATTTCTATAAGTTACGTGATCCTGATAACGTACTTAACGGGAACCACAGGGTTTTGTTACATATTGTATACCTACTGTATAAACAATGTTCCCATCCTTTTTCATTTCCATTATTTTATTTTGATTACATCTTTCTCGAAAATAGAAATAAAGCGAACACACTATTCTCGCGGGCGAGTCCAACCTTAGTGTTCTGTGGTCCAACCTCAATGGGCATTGCTGAAAACCAACGCTACCGCAATCAGCAGAGTCAGTGCCCTTTTCAGCACCACATCACTCATGCAATCGGATCATTTTCTGCCGACTTCTAAAAAGGAGACGGTACTCAATTCTACTGTATTTTTTTCTGTTTCTTTTTTATGTGTGTTACCTCATAACTTTTTACTGGGTGAACCGATTTCGATGATTTTTTATTTGAAAGCTGGTACTTCTCGTATGGTCCCATATGAATTTGATCAAGGTCAGGGCAATAGTTCTTGAGTTATTCTTAATAACTTATATTGAAGTCGGCTGTACAAAAATTTTAATTTTAAATTATATGTCTGTTTTGTTCTTATTTACTGTTATAATTGATGTTTTTATGTATAATTTTATTTTCTGTATCAAAACTGTATGAGTGTGAGTTGCTGAATAAATGCATGTCTAAGTCTATGCCTATATTGAATAAACAAGTGGTAAAATTAAACATTTTGTACAACCGACTTCAATATAAATTATTAAGGATAACTCAAAAACTAATGGTCAGACCTTGATCACATTTGTATGAAACCACATGAGAAGCACCAGCTTTCAAATGAAGAAGGAATCATCGAAATCGGTTCACCCAGAAAAAAGATATGAGCTAACACACATAAAGAAAAACATACTGGCGAATTGAGTACCTTCTCCTTTTTGAATCCGGTAGAAAAGTGCTTCCATTCCATTCTATTCTATTTTCATTAGTATAACGCTTTTGCCCATCTCCTACACTGCCACTACACGGTAAATCAACTCTTACATCTTACATACTTACATTAGGATAATTAAAGCTGAATCCTGCTTCCGGGCTGGTGTTCACCGAACTACTTAGTGACCACTGCAAAATAGAAAATTCTGAAGGTGTTATCTCGGCTGACGACAATAAGCAATTATAACCCCGCCTAAGGGTATTAGTGTTCTGTGATTATAACTTCCAGTCAAACACATTTATTTCTTTTAAAGAACACAGATTATGTATACAATAAAAATAATAAGACATGCTTTAGTGTTGCGGAAACACTAGGTTGGAACGAAGTTCCTTTCGTAGTATAAGTATTATTATTGATAAACGTATTATATTATTGATTAACAAATAGATATAAATAAATGAATTACTAGCGTCTAATAAAATGAAGCTTCATTTAAAATAAAATAATATTACTTTCATGGCAAACTGGCATGAAAAAGTGTGAGTGAGATGGATATTCCATCTCGCTCGCATTATATAAAGGAGGTCGTGACGGAAAAATCTTACACTTTTTCTCGCCTAGCCCCCATCCGTCAAATTCGTACTGGACGGTACGAATTTGACGGATAAGGAACTTCTTTCCAATATTAACAGTATTCATACGGTAGCATGCATTTTATATAATACTCGTTTTATTGTTATACATCCTTAATTAATTTGTTACATTTTTATTTAACTAATTAAAGCATATGTTTGTATTATATAATGGTAATGTTTTAAAAATATGAATATTGTATTAATAAAATATTTACTAAGCAAATTTTTTTTAGTGATGTTTATTATACTACTAAAGAGCACATGACTGATAATAACCCCTGGGAGTGAGGTGATCGCTAGCATGCTGTTTCTAGTGTATTCATACTAATGATGTAATATATGTATTTAATAATTTGTAAATTAATTTTAATTGAAAAAAAAAGTCCCGCCGCGATTCTTGCTGGTTATTCCCAAGACCGAGGTAATTTCCGAACCAGTTGTAAAAACAAAATAATTACTTTCATTAACAATTACATGTAATCTATGAATAAAAATGATTCTATTCTATTAAAAGTTAAATTTTGAACCCTTTCGAGTGGACTAATACAAGTTCAAAGCAATAACTAGCATTAGCATGTCATTTTAATAGTTACAGTAAAAAGTTCATCCCTATTTTTCTACCCTTAGGGTCAGAAATTTTTGATCAAAGCTATATGGTAAACTTAATACGTGTGAGCCATACTGCAGTGCTGGAGCTATATTAGTTGTAGCACATAAAAACATAAATAGCTTCAATAAGAATAAGGATGTGCATACTTTAAACACTAGGAACAAACATAAGCTTGTAATACCAGTTATTAGACTCCACAGAATCAGTAATTCATTTATGGGGCAATGTATACGCTTTTACAACAAAATCCCAGAACATATTCAAAGTTTGTCAATAAACAAGTTTAAAAGTTTTATTAAAGAAAAACTGTACAAAAAGGGTTATTATATTATCAAGGAATACATGAATGAAAATAACCCCTGGGAATAAGGTGATCGCCACCATGCTGGTTCTATGAAAAATTATTTAAAAATTGTATAAACGAAATTATGTTTGAAAAAAAAGTCACGCTGGGTTTCTTGCTGGTTCTTCCCAGGACAGAGGTATTTTCCGAACCAGTGGTATATAAAAAATGACTTTCAATAAGAATTATGTAATAATCGATATTGAATAAAAAAATATTTTATTCTATTCTAATGAGTCGGCTCGACCGGAGAAGGACCACGCTCTCACAGAATACCAGCGTAAAATAGCAGCTTAACACTGCTGTTTCGTATGGTGAGTGTAGAGAACCGAAGAACCTTTTTACTGGAAACGAACCATTCCATCTTAGTTCTCAGGGGTGATAACGCTTTTGCATTATGATACTTAATTGAGGATATATGTAGATGTCTATGAGCCACAGCATCCACTTACCATGAGGTGGACTGTGTGCTCGTTTATCACCCTTATTCTAAAAAAAAATATGGGACTACCTCTGAAGTTTAACTATTTAATAAAAAAATATTTAAATTTGTTAACTATATCCGAGGACTTACGATAGCTACCTTAGAGTCGGAATATTTACTCTTTTTTTTATTCAAATCTGTATGAGGCTTACTTCTGAAGTTTAAATATTAATATAAGCTTAAATATTTAATTTAATTATTATTGAAATCTATTAGCCATTTCCAATAAATCAGTAAACATACATAAAAATCATACGCGTCGAATATAGAAACTCTTCTGTTTTTGAACTCGGTTAAAAATACAATTTTTAACCGAGTTCAAAAAACAGAAGACAGAGAGCAAGTTCAAAGACAGAGAGCAAGCTGCTGTTCTGCTGTTAGAATGGTCGTTTGGGGACATAGAGACAGCAAGAGACCCTTAAAAATCTATGCTTCAATTTTTTTTAAATTGGATTGTGTGACAAACGAGCACACAGTTCACCTGATGGTAAGGGGATGCTGTGGCCCATAGAAATATGCATTTATCCTCGATTACGGATCAAAATGCAGATGCGTTACCACCCCTGAAGACTACGAGATCGTAAGATGGAATGCCTCGTTTCCAGTGAAAGCGACTTCGGTTCTCTACACTCATCATAAAAAAAAAAGCAGCAATGTTCTTTTACTTCATGCTGGTACTCTGTGAGAGCGTGGTCCTATCCCTATCGAGTAGATCGAGTAGACTTCTGTAACTATAATATAGCTCCAAATTGGCACTATCACGTTAAAAATATGACAAAATAAAAATAAAACTTACCAGAAAATAAAATCCGTACAGCCACATATCGTAACGCGGCCGTGAACAATCGTTTAGAACAAATAAAATTGTAACAAGTTAAATAAAGCATTCGTTAAGATACCGATTTATTTTTTAACGATTGCTCCTAATTGGTCGTTTAGTTATATTGTAACAATTTGGTAAAATCAATCAGTGTATTTTCAAGTTTTTTTTTTAACATATAAGCGTAAAGAAGTAACAGAACGTTACAGCCTATAATGATTTCTTATATTTACGCGAATACTACACATTACATTAAACAAATTTTACGGATTTTGTCGCGTTTAATTTTAAATTCCTGATTCCCGATATTTTGGGTGCTTTACAGCATCCAAGGTCAAGGGGGGACTGAGGTGTTTGGAGTTCTAATGTCATAGTTCTGCTATCTTCAGCTTTTGAACACTCGGAAGTAGTCCCGAGACATCGCGATAGCACTGGGAGGGTGCTGGGGTAATAAAAGCTAACCCTGGGACGTGCTAATAGTCAAGCAAAGTATGGAGTGGGTCCCCGCTGCGTTTCGAACGGAGACACCGTGTCCATTCATATACCCTGATGGTGACCACCGTGGGGTTTTAGCCGGTACACGTGCGGCATAACCTTTTCGTTACCCCGCAGCGGAAGGTATCTATGAGGATTCCTGCACAATGAAAATGGCTGTGACATGCCTATAAATAATTAGTTTTTTTTTTAATAAGATAAGGGTGACAAACGAGCACATAGTCCACCTGATGGTAAATGAATGCTGTGACCCATAGAAATCTACATCTATCCTCGATTACGAATCAAAATGTAGATGCGTTGTCAACCGTCAGGACTAAGATGGAAAACCTCGTTTCCAGTGAAAAGGGTGGCCGGTTCTCTACACTCACCATACGAAACACAGTAGTGTTAAGCTGCTATTTTACGCTGGTATTTTGCGAGAGTGTGGTCCTTCCTCGGTCGAACCGATCCATTCGTGCTACAACTATACCATTAAATTAATATAGCTGCAGCATGGCTCTACCAAGTAAAACGTCTTAGAAATATTTTTTTAATTTCTTAAACATGCAGGCTTCTTCACTATATTCTCCTTCACCGCCGAGCACGTGGTAAATATGCACTTTTTAAAATAATTGCAATTGACAATTTCACTGGGGCCGGCGGGGATTGAACCCGGGTTGTTCACGTGCTGTGAAATTTATATCAATGTAAAGTCTACCGTTACAGTTACAGCCTATTATAAAGTCCACTGCTGAACATAGGCCTCCCGCATACATTGCCTCATAGGAAATATTTACTATAGTTGCCACGATTGGCACGAGGGTATGCACGCGCAGTTTATTTTTATTTGTATTCGATATTAGGAAGACGCTGCTGTCCATTTCCCGATTTGTTTCCCTCTGTCGCCTCTTACGACAGCCACGGGATATTATGGGGTAATGCAAATTCTTACGCCACTACACGGTGAAATGCAAAATGTAGTCTATTAGACGTCAAGTGACTACTGCGGAACAGAAAGCTATAGGCAAACACAATTAAGAATTTTAATCACATTTATTTATAATACTATTAAAATATACAATATTTATCATAATAATATCTAATAAATAATAGTACGAATAAACTTTTTTATAATGTTACGACCCCACACGAAGTGAAAATTTCTGATATTCCAATTTTTTTTTTGCCGCGACTTGTACACATGAAATACTACACTCATTATATGCAAAACATACATAATATTATAATATTATTTTATAATTACAATACGTAATGAATAAAAACGTAATTATTTGAACGACACACTCCTTTTCAGACAGTAAACGTGGTTGATGACGACTGGAGTGTGGACACACGATTCAGTGTGTCACCTAGCCGACCGTGACAGTTCACTTTCGTTAAATGTTTTAAAAAAATGTGCCTAAAGAAGTTGTCACTTTAAAAACTTAAATTGTCATAAAGCCCTACGTCATGCGGTCTAGTGCCAAGAACGCTGGCTGCGTTTCCTTGCTTGCTATCTTAGCCTTTGAGTGAGAAACAAAACCAGCCCTCTCATCACCAGCGATGACGGCAAGTCACGGATACTGTTCCGTTAAGAACTTTGAACCACCGCACGTGGATCCCAAGGACCAATAGTCTCTACAGCAAGTGGCACAAAACTTGAGATGTGACGTTATTTCAACTTAGGATAGTCATCAAAGACTATTAATTATATTTAAATTTTTATTTCGACTAAAAAAATCTATATCTATACACATAAATAAAATTGAAGTGTCTGTTTGTGATGTCGAAATAACAGCTTTTTACTATAGTGATATGAAAGTATATACGGCAATTATAACAAAAACACGATTTATTAAATTCTATCTGTCTTTCTGTCTGTCTGTCTGTTTGTTCGGGCTAATCTCCAAAACGGCTGACCGATTTTGACCGGACTTTCACTGATAGATAGCTGATGTTATAAGAAGTAACTTAGGCTACTTTTATTTTATAAAATGATTTAGGGTTCCGCGCAAAAAAATTAAAAGTAATTAAACGCGGGCGAAGTCGCGGGGAATAGCTAGTCTCCAATATAAACAGAAATTAAAATACGGCCTAGATCCTCTCATGGCAGTCCTATCCATTCCGAAGCCTTCGTTTCCGAAGACCGCAGTGACAGACAGACAGAGAAAACTTTCGGAGATTAGAGAGCCGGAACAAACGTCTGTTTGTTCCGGCTAATCTCCGAAACGGCTGGACCCATTTTGATATTAATTAAGAACTTAATGTTGATTGAAAATGAGCAACTACAGGTGACTCAATTTTTGCTTACACGGAGCTAAAATCTCATCCCATTCCATTACATATTATATAGATATAGTGAGAATTACGAACTCCGGAATCGCTATCTAATATAGAATTTACAGAATTAATTCAACAGCGAGTGTATGTTCTTGAAGTTCACAATCCTTTTGCCTGGTGTTGATCCGCCTCGGAGGGCGTAAATTGACTTTTTCGATAGGATAAACCTTCTTCCATTATTTTCTCCAGAATAGTTTAGAACGCCTGGAATCGCTGCTTCTCTGCTCTGACACGTCATGAAGTCTGCTGGAAAACATCAAATATCTAAAACCCAGTATGACTCGATTTAAGCCACAAACTATCGTACAGCCTATCAGAAGTCCACCGCTGAACGTAGGTCTTCCTCATAGATTGCATCATATGTGGTATATTTACCACAGTTATCAGGTTTGGCGGACGGGTTGGCAACCGCAGATTTCTTTTATTTTTAGTTGTTATTCGGAAGTCGCTGCTGTCCATCTGCTGATTTGTTTCCCTCTGTCGCCTCTTGCGACACCTACGGGATGATATGGGATAGTGTCCTGTATAGTACATAGCCTCTAAAAGTCCACTGCAGAACATAGGCCATTTATATGGGGGATATTTTTGCCATTCTTACAACACCATTACACGAACAAATTGACAAAGTCTTCCGAACTTGCGATAGATGGCGCTATAAACATTACGTTTAAATGTGACACGTGAAATACTCAGACCAGTAGGGGACCGGTACTGCCATGGTCTATCCCTTGCCACGCGTGACTTATCGCTACCGTTACAGCCTAATAAAGTCCACTGCTGAATATTGCCGTAGTTGTAATGTTAATTTTGTTTTGAAAATTTCACCTCTCAGTGGTTCATGCGCTCCTAGTAGATTGTCTTCTATACATCCATCCACTACAGCCTATTAAAGTCCACTGTTGAACATAGGCCTCCCCCATAGATTGCCTCATAGGATATTGCCGTAGTTGTAATGTTACTGTTGATTTGAACATTTCACCTCTCAGTGGTTCATGCGCTCCTGGTAGATTGTCTTCTATACATCCATCCACTACAGCCTATTAAAGTCCACTGCTGAACATAGGCCTCCCCCATAGATTGCATCATACAGGAGATATTTGGCACAGTTGCCACGTTTGGCAAGCGGTTTGGCAACCACAGTTTATTTTTTATTTTATTCGTTATTAGGATGACGCTGCCGCCCATCTCCTGAGTTTTTACCTACTTTCGCCTCTTACGACACCTACGGGATGATGTTGGGTAATGGATATTCTTACATCTTCACTCTTCAAGCGTAACTAATAAGGCAAATCGTCCCCATAACGGGAAAGGCCTAAGTCCAGCTGTGAACTTTAACGGGCACAGAAAGAAGATATATATATAAATTCTCAGGCCTCTAACCCAGAGGGGTAAGCAGACCACGGACTTCCATTCGCTACGATCCTGACACACCTCTCTCGTTTCTCTCACATCCATGAACCTTTGCATACATGCTCGTCGGTTAAGTTGCCAATTAAAATGAACTTCCATCTAAGCCACTCAATTCTGGAGGATAAATATTCTTTGCCTTTCCTTACTCATTTGTTATTTCTTTTTTTATAGAATCAGAGTGACAAATAAGCACACAGTCCAGATGATGGTAAGTGAATGCTGTGGCCCATAGACATGTACATTTATTCTAAATTAAGAAATCAAATGCAGATGCGTTGTTGCCCCTGAGTACTGAGATAGAATGCCTCGTTTCCAGTAAAAAGGGTCTCCGGTTCTCAACACTCACCATACGAAATAAAGCAGCATTGAGTCATACTCTTTTCTACTTTTACGCTGGTATTCTGTGACAGCGTCGCCCTCCCCCGGTCGAGCCAACCCATTCGTGCTACAACCGTAATATAGCTGCAGCGTGGTTCCACTATGTAATATTCTACTTGAAAATACCACTGAAACATAGATAAGAAGAAGATACGTACTATTTAAGCATACAAAATAAATCACACACAACAAAATCAGTGACATTATACAGTTCTCCGAAATTTTCGTAAAGAGAATTTTACACAAGACAAAATATTTAATAAAACGTTGTATTCATAATCCAAGTGAATTCTTATCGTTGAACAATTTCGTTCGATTTTAACGACCATGTAATTGCGTAAAAACATATTGAGCAGTTATGGCTGCAAACCGAATGGGTCGGCTCGACTTGGGAAGGACTACGCTATCACAGAATACCAGCGTAAAATAGCAGTTTAATGAAGCTCTGTTTGAACCGGAGCCGTTTTTACTGGAAACGAAGAATTCATAGTCCTCAGAGGGGACAAAGCATGGCATTTTGATTCTTAATCGAATATATGTGTAGATGTCTATGGGCTACAACGTCCACTTGCCATCAGGTTGACTGTGTGCTCGTTTGTCACTCTTAGTGTCTAAAAAATACAAGTCATAGTTTCATCTATCCATTACAGGTGAACACAAACCTTCCCTAAAAATTTTCTCTAGATTTTGCTATAGTTACCGAACCAAGCAGGCGGATCATTAGGAAGATGCTACATGTCTTTTTTTTGTTTTATAGAATAAGGGTGTCAAACGAGCATACAGCTCACCTTATGATGAGCGGATACTGTAGCCCATATAATTCTACATTTATCCTCAATTGAGATTTAAAATGCAGACGCATTGTCAGCCGTGTGGACTAAGATGAAATGCCAACTATCTAGTAATAGAACTAGGCATTTTTTTAAATGGATGGAATACCTAGGTTCTTTATACTCACCAGACAAAACACAACTGCGTCAAGCTGCTATTTTACGCCGGTATTCTGTGAGAGCGTAATCCTACCCCGATCGGAACGACCCATTCGTGCTACAACAATAGATGTATAGATAAGAGGCAGGCTTTTTTACTTGTAGTAAGGCATTTTATCTGAGTCCAGGGTTGACAACGCATCTGCATTCTGATACTTATTCGACGGATTCGAGAATAGATGACAGTATCTCTGGACGACGACATCTAATCCCTATCAGGTGGACCATGTGCTCGTTTTTAACCCTCACATCTTTAAAGACTTTGGTAGTTTTTTTTTTCATTTGAATCAGTATATTCAGGATGGGGTGATTGAAGGACAGAAAAAAATATTTTAAACTTTTTTTATTACAGACCCAAAATTTCTTTAACAAAATAGCTCCTTAGCCACCTTGGTTGTCAGAAATGGCACTCAGTAGCCAGACCATCGTCTTCTGGTCGCTGAAGGCTCTCTCAAATGAAGCTGTGGAAGACACGACAGTATTTAAATACTCCTATATAAGAGAATTGGATTGGAAGAATAGGTTCTCGAGTTGCAGTCTCGTACCGGTAGGAGAAGTTAGCTTGGAGTATTGTGACCCCCCACTAGATGGAGTAACGACCTGGTAAGACATGTAGGAAGTCGATGGATGCAGAGCGTGCTATGTGACATTTCTTGGGGGAGGTCTATGTTCAGCAGTGGATTTGTGAAGGTAATGATAATATAAGAGAAGAGTGTAAGATGTGATATGACTCCAAGTATGTTAAGTATCATAAGAAGCGACCGGGGGGGGGGGGTTCCAGAAAAATCGAATGGCTTATAATATATAGTGGTTTAACTATCTCGCTAACAACAGACTGACGTAAAATGTCCAGACCGAAGACGGACAGTAGCGTAAAAGATGCTCACCTATGGTTCTTTCTTTTCTATAGGAATAGGGTGACAAACGAGCACACAGTCCACCTGATGGTAAGTGGTTGCTGTGACCCATAGACATCTACATTTACCCTCGTTTGCGAATCAAAATGCAGATGTGTCACCCGTGAGAACTAAGTTGGAATGCTTCTTTTCCAGTAAAATGGGTCTCCGGTTCTCTACACTCACCATACGAAACAGCAGGATTAAGCTGCTATTTTACGTTGATATTCTGTGAGAGTGTGGTCCTTCCCCGGTCGAGCCGATCTATTCGTGCTACAACTATACTACAAATATAGCTGCAGCTTGGCTCTGCAATCCTTATTTCGCCTGTGTTACAATGTTCAGATGTGCAGGTATTAGCTGTGCACATTTTATGGACTGATAATAAAGAAGGAGAATTTCAACTGCTTATATATTTAAGTCGTTTTAGAAAGACGCTGCTGCCCATCTCCTGATTTGTTTCCCTCTGTCGTCTCTTACGGCACCCACGGGGTTATATGGGGTAGCGGATATTCTTACACCGCCACTACACAGTAGACTTTTGGTAGGTTGTAATGAACGAATGAAATAATTACAAGCACACAATGAGGCATTCCGTCTTAGTCCTCAGTGGAACAACGCAGCCTTCTTTGTTTTAAGTTAGTTGCTTGTGTATGGTGAATGTAGAGAACCAGAGATCCTCTCTACTGGATACAAGGCATTCCATCTTAGTTCTCAGGGGTGACATCGTATCTGCATTTTGATTCACTTACCATCATGTGGGCTATGTGCTCGCTTGTCACCCTTATTCTATAAAAAAGATGTCCATTGACTGTAGTAGGCACCATCAAATAAAGTTCCTTTGTCACTTGGAATCTATAAAAAAATTACCATAAGAATTATCATTCGATGTTTTAAAATTGTTATGAGATGAACATTCATCAGCGGCTATCTTCAACACTTCATCATTCTGACTCGGGATTTTGGAATCATAGCTCGAACTCTTCAATACCGGATTATTTATCTTTCCTTCATCCGACGCTATCTTCAAAACATTTTTCAACCAATTCCAAGTCTCCTGCTGCTGTTCGTTATCTGGAAAGCAGTTAAGCGCAATATTCAACTCTTGAGTTATAAGCAAACAACGTGGGAATCGATGTCTCTAGGAGAGGAATGTAATTATGACAAGTAAATTAAAATAGTTACGGTATTTTTTCTTTTTAATTTGCAGTTTATCAGTTATCTGTGCCTTTTAGTTTTTTTTTCAACATTGGTGTTTACTTTTTGATTTAGCATTTTGTAGTTATGCAATTTAAGTAATAAGACACCCAAAAGTTGCTAACTACCTTAGTTACCTTATAGCGTATAGATTTTTTGCATCTAAAGTTTAGAGAGGGGTTGACCACTTTCAGATTTTGCTGTCCGTACCATTAACCATTGACTATTGACCTTATAAATTTAATTTTGTTAAATAGATTATATTTTTACGTATGCACTTATAAAGTTTATCGGCCAAGTTGGCGGTGCATTGAAGATCTGTCAGATTGAGTGTGGATACCCTTAGCCGACTAACATGTATGCGTAGGTATATGAATGTAAAGGATACGAGAGAGGTGTGTCAGGATCATGCCAAATGGAAGTCCGTAGTCTCTGCCTATCTCTCTAGGTGACAGAAGTGTGTTTATACTACGCTTAAAAAAATGTGTATACACCTTAATACCTTTTTATAAAACTGACGTGACAATGGTCCTTCGAGCCGGATATGAACCAATGGCTGAGAAGAAAGAATCACAGACATTGTGATGCTGCTTGCTGTTTTGCCTCGGTATTTGTTGCGAATGAGATCATCTCCGGGCTTGGTGAGCTATTCAAACGATTCCAATTCCCGTTGGTCTATAGAATAGAACGTCCGCTTACCATCAGGTGGGCTGTGTGCTCGTCCGTCACTCTCCTTATTCAAACTTCAGTATTTTGAAATAATTATTAATTTAAGCACCGTCGCAGAGCAGGAATTTCTTTATTGTTTTGCCATTTTTAAAATACAATACAAATACAAACACTCACGCCTGTCACCCAGAGGGGTAGGCAGAGACTACGGACTTCCATTTGGCGCGATCCTGACACACCTCTCTCGTCTCCTTTACACCATATATATACGCATACACGATCGTCGTTTAAGGGTACTTCTAATCTGGCCCATTTTCAATGTATCACCGATTTAGTCGATAAATCTTCGTCTAGGGCATCCCTTCCCGACTTTGCCGTTCACTTCTGAAACATAAATTTGCTTTGTCAATCTTTCTTCGTTCATTCTTTCTACTTGACCAAACCACCTTTTAAACTTTTAAACCCCACCATTAAAAGTTTTATTTCTATTGCAACTAAGATAGTTTTAGGACGTTTTAAACAGTATTTGTGATTCGAAAACTGAGTTTATTCTCAAGTAATTAAAGTTCATATTTTTATGAATTGCAATAATTTGAAATACGTCCTGTTTCGCGATCACGCCATAGTAATTTATTTGTAACAGCCGTATAATTTTTATAGGGCTTCCTGTTATTCCCATTATTTTACAACCGTTTTCCTACCATGGCATATTAATATTAAGCTGCATATTATGTTTGTATCAGAATTTGTGAGGGATGGTCATTTATAGAGTAAACTCATTTGGTTGGGCTGAATAAATGTATAAAAGGAAATGATAAATATACGAGTACATAAAGTATACTGTATTAAAATAAATAAAACATAAATAAATAAATAATACATAAATAAATAAAAGCCCAAGCAGATGGAAGCCCACGGCAGGTGAAACCAAACGGCAGAGGGTTAGGGAGAAAGGGAAAGGAACCGGTGGACGAAGTGGGCGATATCGAGGAGCACCGCCTTTTGTATTTTAGCCCGGAGCGGCATGTAACAGCATCCCAGTCACCTCAGATGATCTGAGTCGCTGACCGGGATTAATCCGTTCGCAAAGACGACTACAGGAATAATTTCGGTCGGCAGACCACCCCACACGTCGGTCACCTCGTGAGCCAGGTCCAGATTTTTTTCTTTTCTAATCTGCTTCGGCTTTTACGAGGTTCTCGTCACACGGAATGGTGATGTCTACCAAAAATATCCTTGACTGTGCCCGGTCCATCAACACAATAGCAGCCTTATTTGCAATCAAAAAAATGTCCGTGAAGATGGCCCGGTCCCAGCAGAGCCTGGAGCTCCTGGTGTAGAATTCTGGCTATTAAATTGTACCTGTGCAAGTACTCAGAGTTAGAAAGCGCCGAAGAAACGGAGATGACATGCCTAAGTGACTCACCGGGTTGGGGACAAGCTCGACAGATGTCGACGGTGCCATTCCTTAGGATGTATCTCCGATAGTTGTTGGTCTTGATAACCTGATCCTGTATCGCACAGACAAAACCCTCGGTTTCCTCAAAGAGCTCACCAAAACGTAGCCAGTGAAGGGAGGCAACTGTGTCACCGAAAGTCGCATATAGAGTCTTGTAGAACCTCCCGTGAAGCTCCTTCTCCTTCTATACGGTCGGAAATGCTCTGTACTGCCGGATCCTGCCATTGCTCGTTGGCTAAGGATAGAGGAGTAAGTCTTTTATAACAAGAAATGACGTCTCCATAGAACGGATCATCCGCTCTCGTCAGAAAGTAATTACGGAGGCTGCACACTTCGCGATTATGCATGATAAGCACGCCTAAAAAAGCCACGCCCACCATGTTTCCGCGGTAAGTACCTCATAATCGACGCCTCATAATCGACGATTATGTGTTTGAAATTGTGAAATGACTGCTGAGTATGTTGACCCGAAATCTGTTATTGGTTTTACTGTCGAGAAATTCTCATTTGGAGAACCTGGAGTTAAGAAGTTTACGGTGTTTCATCCTCGTGCCTCAGAAAGCATGTAAATCTGTTGATCATGCGCCTCTGCTCTCTCTGGTCGTTTCGGATAATCGTCCCATTGGACTATGAGTGAGTGAATAGAGAGTACACATGTGTTTGCGCACACAATCGTGCTTAATTAACCTGTCCTTCGCAGATGGAAGTCTCCGTTAAGTCTGGATGCTATAACCGAAATTCAGTCTAACGGGTAAATTAAGCACATTAATTTAAAAAAAGACTTACCCGTGTCAGTTTCATCAAGAACTGGATCTAGGTTGAGATTATCTTCGTCATTTGTTGTCTTCTCTTCTGGTTCGTTAGAGTTTACAGCCAGTACCATGGCTGCTGTTTCATCGTCCGACTGGCACGCCGTTAACACCATCAGGGTCGATAGAACAGCGGTCACCAAAATTGTATGCCTATGGATATAACAGGGATTTGAAGTAAACGCTCCGTCGATAGTGGTGATCTTCGGGTGTCCTCATTGGACAGCTTTGTCCATTTTCCTTACGTTTTTAATTCGTTCATTCAATACAGCCCAACAAAAGTCCACTGCTGAACACGGATCTCACCCTCTAGGTTGCCTCATAGCTGACAAGCTTTTGCAGGCGGATTCGCAACCGCAGTTTTCCTGTTCCAGTTTCTCTCTTTCGCCTATTACGACACCCATTGTTTTCCCCACCAGGGTCACGGAGGATAGGGCAAGCGCCTCGCCGTACCAGCACTTCTCTTACTCCGCAACTCCATCTCCGCTGCCACGGTTATGATAAAGGGAAACCCTCTCGCTGCAGTCCATTTACTCGGATCTACTGTCGCACTACCAATTTATGTTACTAATATTCCGTTTTTTTTTTCAAATAATAAAATAGATATTTAAAGAGTTTTTGATCAAATAGCCAAGATCTCTTCAGGCATTGCTCTCTATCTATTAGTGGAGTTTCATTACAATTAGTTTAGCCATTCCGAAGATCAGCCCGGATAGACAGAAAATAAACATTTAAAATATAGTTATTAATGTCTAAATGTCAGCTCAATTGAAGGCGGACAGACACTTCAATCTTATTTACATGTATTTTTTTTATAGGATAGGGTAACAAACGAGAACACAGTCCACCTGATGGTAAGTGGTTGCTGTGGCCCATAGACATCTACATCTATCCTCAATAAAGAATCAAAATGCAGATGCGTCGTCACCCGTGAGGACTAAGATGGAATGCCTCGTTTCCAGTAAAAAGGGTCTCCGGTTCTCTACACTCACTGCTATTTTACGCTGGTATTCTGTGAGAGCGTGGTTCTTCCCCGGTTTTCACTAATAACCTTATAACTATACTTCCAATTTTCTGATATCTTTATGTCAAACTTCAATTAAAAAAAAGTTTGTAAAATCCAAAAGTGCACTACGCACAATGCCCAATGATAGTAAAACATTAAAAAAAATATTAATTATAGTTCTATTCGTCAATGAGTTCCAGTAGCAGTTAACGAAGTACATCTTGAAGTCAATCTATTATGTTCTATAACCAACAAAACGAGGCTAAACTCGGCACATCTAATTCTTCTCGTCGAGGAGTTCCAGTAGCAGATACCGACACACCTTCAGGTCTATATAGTCCAAGAAGTATAATATGTATATTTATATATAAATCCTGCGTACTTTTAACGAAACAAAATATTGTAATAACAATCTGTGATTATAAATATAATAATAATATCTTACGTTGGTTAATTATGTATTAAATTTGGTTTTTGGAATATTTTGTAGTTCTACAGCGATCGATATTTTTCTGCACGAGCCGCTGTAACAAACGCCCACTCACGACGGCATTTGAGCCCGTAGTAAATAAAGTACTCTGTGGTTGTGGCTAGGCCTATTTAATAAAATAAATTAATACAAGGCTCTCAAACCACCGTAAATTTCGCCATTTCTTAGACGAAAAAATTAATTATAACTAAACAAAACAAAATTAAACTTCCATTTACATTCCATGGCTTCCCACATGATAGATGAAGAGTTTTAAAAATAGATTGAGTTGAACAATTGATATTTTCAAAAGTTATCGTGTTTACGCAGCCATATTGACTTGATAAATCTACACCATAAGCCACTAAACCCCCTTTTTATGTAAAAATAGTAATCACTCGATTTAAAAAATATATTAATAAGTTCACAATCATTTATCTTTCTGACAATGTGCTTTTTATATTATTTATATTATGTATACTATGATTGCTAGATACGATTTCATGCGACAAATCGTTGGAATCTTAATTTTTAGGCCTTAGCAGAAAATACCTGCGCGCTACGCGCTTAAGGCATGCAAAAGGGTCGTGACGGAAAAATCTTATGCTTTTTCTCGCCTAGCCTCCCATCCAGCAAGTTCGTACCGTGCGAAAAACTTAAATTATCTTTGAATTAGTTGAAATTAAGTTCCCAAGTTAAATATATATAGAAACAGAAGCAATTAATATTCTGAGATAAGCTCACCTCATTTCGTTTTGAATAATAAGTACCAGAGATAAAAAAAATATTCTCAAGACCGGCGCCGTCCCGCGTCCGTGTTGACGCTCGCACTGGCCTAATATATTATATCTATGCACTGGTCCAACATAAGGAAAACAAGAGCAGTTAATAAAACGGATAGTTATAAATATCTCAGTGTCATTTATTATACGCGGTGGTTTATCATTTTATCACAATAATGCCACTTCAGCTTAATTAAAGAAAGTGTGTTTATTTAATTCAGCCTCGTACAAGTAGGCGAAGTGTAGGACATTTCCCCACCAGATGGAGTGACGATCTGGTAAGCCATGCAGGAAGGCTCAGGACCGTGCTTTGTGGCATTTCTTGGGGGATGCCTATGTTCAGTAGCGGACTTGTAAAGGGTTGTAATGATGATGATGATGATGATGTTTTAGGGCAAGGAAGTGTCCGCCGGGCTGTTTTGGCGAACTTCACATGTCTTCGAAATATTTCATAGTTGTATAATATATTATAATTATTTATTTAATTCATTTATTTAAATCTTCACGTTTTGGAATTAAAAATAAGTAAAATTAAACGTCATGTCATTCTTAAAATAGTTTTATTCAAGAACTTTATGCCTGTGAAGACCGTGCGTCTGGACTTTTACGTCAATTGGTGGCAAATATGATAACTATTTGGATCGTTTATTACATTTTAATACGTGATTTGTTTTTTAGTAATTATTAATATAATATATTGATATTATTTTAATAATGTCAACTTCAAGAAAAAATTGCTCTGTCCGTGACGAATGCATCACGTCAAAAACGTGGGATTGATGTGAAAGTGAAATTTGCATGTAAACAGTGGATAAAAGCAGTATAAAAATATGTGTAAGTCCTATGTTATTATTATTAGAACTAAACGCGAAACACCCGGCGTGTGGTTCCAGAGTGATCAAACCGCCGGGTCGTGAACTATATGAAGACGCTGAGAGAAACAGCTACGACGTTTTAGGTCCCAAGGAACCAACGCACGTCCCTACGGACCACCGGAAATGTCTGGATGTATTGGACATCGTGCTCTCTAGGAACGTCAACTGCCCAATAGTGTACGACCTGAATTCACAGCATCTCCCGATTCTAATCACCATTGGCCTCAAGGCTGTGACTACGCTGCCCGGAGCTCTTAGAAGGAAGATCAATTGGAGACTCTACCAGAAACATCTAATGGAGAGACCTCCAACCTATATTCCAATCAATACAGCGGACGACGTAGAGGCCGCTGCAACAAGAATAACTAAGACGATACAAGACGCCCTACCCGCGGCCTCTACGATCGTCCCAACCACAGGAAGGAGGGAAGAACTGCCGCAAGAGATATGCGTGCAGCTCAAACGCAAAAGAGCACTGAGGAAGTTCTGGGCGCGTACTCGCTGCCCTAGACTAAAAACACAACTGAACACCTTATCGGATGAACTGTCGGTTGCCGTCCGGGCCCACAGAGGAGAAGCCTGGGAGCGGCGCATATCAAAAGCGGATGAGCAAGATGCGTTGCTCTACAAACTGAACCGACAGTTAACAAAAACCAGACCCCCCGTTTGCCCGCTGACCAACAGCGCGGGCGAACGTTGTTACGACGCCAAAGGTAGAGCGGATATCCTAGCAGAGCACTTCGAGGAGCAATTTATGCCGAACCCAGCAAGTGCGGAGTTCATGGAACTTCATACCCGGAAGGAGAGCCGCGTACAGGAGTTCATGTCGACGCCCGCGCCACCGCTTGTAGGAGAGTGGTTTATATCCGCCGCCGTATTGCGAAGGACAGTACAGGCGCCGGGGCACGACGGGATAACCAACGCAGCACTCCGACAGCTGCCCAATAGAGTACTTGTAGAGCTAGGTCGACTGTACAACGGTATGCTGCGGACGTCCCACTTCCCGGAGGACTGGAAAATCGGCAAAGTGATCGTTCTGCCGAAACCCGGGAAGGACAGGCGTAGAGCAGCCAGTTATAGGCCGATCACGCTGCTACCGCACATAGCTAAAATGTGCGAAAGATTGTTGCTAAGAAGCCTCCGCCCGTGCGTATTACTTCGGGCGGAACAGCACGGATTCAGGAAGGGCCACTCTACAGCAACACAACTGACCAGGGTGCTGCACTACCTTGCGGCCATACATCGTTCGGCGTCTTTCTCGATATAGAGAAGGCGTTCGACAGGGTGTGGCACTCTGGATTACTTTATAAACTAGAAGCACAAACAAGTACCCCTCCAGCTATGTTGCAGCTAGTGGCGTCATTCCTCAGAGATAGGAAGTTCTACGTCTGTGTAGAGGACGCCGAGTCCGCAGCGAGACCAATAAGAGCCGGCGTACCACAGGGCAGCTATCTATCGCCGATCCTGTACGCGGCTTATACCAATGACATCCCCAACCTGGCAGACCACCTGCGCGAATGGGAAGACGATGTTTAACTGGCAATATACGCGGACGATAGTGCCTACTTCACATCGTCTAGAAGAGCCCACATAGCCACTGCCAGGATGCAGAGCCTGCTGGACCTACTGCCACCATGGCTGGAAAAGTGGAGGATGGCCGTCAATGTTGGCAAGACAACCGCTCTGCTCACTTGCCGCTTCAGGAACTTCCCACCACCGTTGACGTTCAGCGGCCTGGAAATCAAGTACGAGAAGGCCGTGATTTATCTTGGATGCCGGAGCGACCGGATGCTGCGCCTGACCGCGCACGTTGATCTCGTCGTCCGCAACCCCAGATGTGCGTGGGCGGCACTCCGTCCCGTCCTGGCATCCAAGCTACCGCTCAAGATGAAACTAAAAATCTACAAGATGTACATACGATCTAAATTCACACACGCTGCTCCGGCCTGGTTCGCGCTCCTGAGCGATCGTCAGAAGCGGCGACTACGGGTCCAGCAGAATTTATCACTACGGACCATCGTCGGTGCAGGTCGCTACGACCGGAATGACGTCATCGCGGCCAACTTGAAGATGGAGACTATCGAGGAATTTGTGGCCCAAATAGCGCGCGACAACGGGCCACATGAACACCTACATAACATCGCACCTTTACATGCTCGGCCTCCGGACGGGCGACCTCTGCCAAGAGAACTCCTATCTATAGCGATTAGAGAGTCGAGTAATAACCCGCAATGCCGCATACAGGCCAACTTAGACGCCCATAGGCCAACTTAGTCGCCTATATGGGCCGACTTAGCCGCCTATATAGGCCAACTTGGACGACCATAGGCCATATTAGACGCCCATTTTATACCATCTTAAACCAACATACAGCGACCGGGGAACCGAACCCCGGACCGCTGCAACAGATTTACAATGCATTAACGGCTCCCGAGACCGGTGCATAGTGATGCACCGCGAGGAGATTCCGGGCAAAGGAGGTATGCCCCGAGGCCCGACACCTGCTGGGTGCTAATTAGCACACATGCAGACAACTACGTAGTGCAATTCGGATGCCCCGAGGCCCGATACCTGCTGTCTGCTAAATAGCAGTTCATTTTATAATCAAGAAAGAAAAGTGATTAGGGAAAGTAGTAGAAGTAGTGAAAGTTCCAGTATCACATTTCCAAGGCGAATTTATGAAGAAATCAATGTTTTATTTCAAGATCCTTCAGTGTTCACCCTAATAGGAGGGAAAAAAGGAATATACAGCATTTCCATAGGGGGCCTGTCATCTTAGTCATCAACTTTTGAGAAAGGGTTGATGACTGACATAAGATAAATTCGTAAAAATTCGTACCTACATTTCAGAATAGTAGTTACTTCCTAACTTTTGATAGAATGAACCGATTTTAACGTTGTAAAGCCATGCTGCATCGACCGAGGTATTTTGTTCATTCTAATTCAGGAAATGCAAAGAACACAGAATCAATTTATTTTAAAACTTCAAGAAAATGGAATACGAGGGCGACACTAAAAGTGTTTTAGAACTGGCCACTTGTAAACGATATAATAAAAAATAAGTTCAAATTTTGAAATTTTGATTTTGTCAATATTTTTGTGACATATATTTTATTGATTTGTCAATTATATACGATTTGGCGGCAAATTGAAAATTGTTTGTGTCACGTCAGCATGAATTTAATGCGAGAAAATTTTCATACAATGATTTTTTATGACTTTCGATGTCATTTAAGTCGACAAAAAAATTTATGATAGATATCGATTGGCTTTTCACGATGAAGCTTCGTCTCGTGCCACTGTTTACAACTGGTTTCATGAGTTTAAGCGTGGTCGCATTAATCTCACCGATGATCTGCGTGAGGGACGGCCTTCTACGGCGACGACAAAAGATAACAACAGTCTTGTGCGGCGTACGATAGAGACTGACAAAAGAGTGACTTATCAGCAGATTCGGACAAACTTAGGCATCGGTATGAGTCAAGTTAACAAAATCCTCCATGCACATTTAGCGGTCAGGAAGCTTTGTGCCAGTTGGATACCTCATAATTTAACAGAGGCCCAAAAACTCCGTCGTGTTCATTAGTGTCGTGAAATGGTTCAAAGATTTAACGGAGGTGACTCAAATGCTGTGTTAGACATAGTTACGTGTGACGAAAGCTGGATTTATTATTATGATCCTGAAACTAAGAGACAGTCTGCTGTCTGGGTGTTTCCTTCCAAGGAGTTGCCAACTAAAGTGAAGAGAGGTCGAAGCGTTGGAAAAAAGATGGTGCTTCGTTCTTCGGAAGGACAGGTCATTACGCAACAATTGTTTTATAGGATCGAAAAACAGTTACTGCATAGTGGTACACTAACAATTGTATGCCACTTGTCTTGAAAAAAGTTCGGGAGTAACGACATCGCGGTAGGATCCTCCTTCACCACGACCACGCCTCATCGCACACCGCCATGCAAACACTCGACTACTTGGCGACGTTAGACGTGGAATTACTGGGTCACCCGCCCTATAGTTATAGTCCCGACCTTGCAACTTGCGATTTTTATATATTTCCGAAAATAAAAGAAAAACTTCGAGGAAAACATTTTATGGATATGATGCTGTGACTGCGTTTCAAAATGCCGTCGAGGAGACCCCTAAGGACGAGTGGGCAAAGTGCTTTACTCAGTGGTTCCAACAGATGCAGCGATGTATTGATGTAAATGGACACTATATTGTAAAGATATAATAAAACTAATAACTTGTTAATTTGTTCAGTTTTAATATTTTAAGAACTTTTAGTGCTACCCTCATGAATAATGTTGTAGCATGAAGTTTAAAAATTATTTTAGATAGATTTGTTCCACCCTTGCAAATCCGAACTGGCTGGTGTTTAATATTTTTAAATACCTAATAAAAATGTAATTTAACTTGAAACTTAAACCGACCAAGTTCTATAACAAAAATAACTAACTGGTACCCGGCGCATTGCTGCAGCAGAAGAAATAATTGCGCAAATATTTAAAGGAAGAGTTACATTGTTTAATTAGGCATGATAATACAATTTTTTACGTGGTAGAGCCATGCTGCAGCTATATTAGTTGTACAGTTGGAGCACGAATGGGTCGACTCGACCGAGGAAGGACTGCGCTCTCACAAAATACTAGCGTAAAATAGCAGCTTAATGCTGCTGTGTGAAACGGAGACCCATTTTACTGGAAAAGAGGCATTCCATCTTAGTCCTCACGGCTGACAACGCATCTGCATTTTAATTCGCAAACGAAGATAGATGTAGATGTCTATGGGCCACAGCAACCACTTACCATGTGTGCTCGTTTGTCACCCTAATTCTATTAAAAAAAAAAACAATCAATCATTGAAATTAAATGATATACAACTTTCAAATAAATTATCGGTACGCTATGCGCGCCACCTAGTGTAAGTTAATTGTACTATGCCTATAACCTTCGCGCCAGTGTAATCGACAAAGTTTTAGTGCGATCTAATGAACGGTATGGCAGCGTATAAAATTCGAACAAACGAATATTAATATTTATATATTAGAAGATTAGATGGGTGCTGCAGAGTTGATCACAACTGACTATGCCTAATTTTTCTAAAGGGTGTATAAAGTTACAAAATATTTACATTACCTTTTAACTCATTATTGTTAAATACAAACATATAAATTTAGTTCATATAGATAACGAATAAAAATGTCGACGATAAAACCCAAAGGAACTCCCAGAGGAATTCCCAGAGGTCAGAGTTCCCCAGGGCATTGTGTGTAATTTATTGGCGGCAATTATTTACACAATGGAGTTCAAAATTGTTCATTAATGACAATATTAATGTTCTCTTGATTGCCTCGTTGGTGCAGTGGTTGTAAACGTGACCGCTGATCGTGAGCTCCCGGGTTCGAATCCCAGGTCGAGTCAAAAAATCAGTTACTGAGATTTTCCGTTAAGAAATTCTAAGTAGCCCCCCGGACTCAGGTAGCTGGCGGTGTCTCACCCCCGTGCCTCGGAAAGCACGTAAAGCCGTTGTTCCTGCGCCTGATCTCTCTCCGGTCGTGTCGGTTTACCGTCCCATCGGACTATGAGAGTGAGGGAATAGAGAGTGCACCTGTGCTTGCGCATACTCTTGAGCACCGTTCCTGGTCTGCGCCGATGGCTAGTCTCCGTTGAGGCTGGCTGCCGTGACCGAAATTGGGTCTGGAGGTCATTATTATTGATATTATTATATTCTGTAGACTGATATTTGGTCACGGTGCGGCGACCAGTCTCGACCGAGACTAGCCGTACAGGCAGACAGGGTTATGGTTTATAGGGCACGAGTGTATGCGCAAGCACAGGTGCATTCTTAGTGATCGGCCAGGACAGGATTTCAATGACCGAGTGAATGGGCAAGCACAAGTGCACTTTCATAGTGCAATGGTATGGTAATACCACCAAGAGAGATTGTAGCAGGCACAGCGGTTTAATGTGCTTTCCGAGGCACGGGGATGAAACACCGCCAACTCCCTGACTCCGATCTGCTACTGAGAATTTTTTGACGGAAAACCCCATTAACTGCTTTTATCCAGACCTGGACATCGAAACCGGGACCTTATGATTAACAATCACGTTTATGACCACTAGATCGACGAAGCAGTCGTTGGTAGTCCGGTGGTCATGAACGCGATGGTGGCAGTTATAGTTTATTTCATAGGTTCCCAAACTATTTTAGTTCGCGGCGCAATTACAGATTTAGTATTTTGTCTCGGCGCCCAAGCTAGTCTAAATAGGTGATAACAAACAATGATATTAGATAAGCACGAAAAATTAAAATATCTACAATATGAAACTAAGTTTTATATTTATATTGACATAATGGCAACTTAGACAATGTGACGTGTGGGCTTGGTGATCTCCACACATTTTTTTCCAACAATGGGGTAAGGCTTGACACCGCTACTCTCATTTCATGCTCCACATTAATCTTTGAGCGATATTTTCTCTTTATTATAGCTACAGCTGAAAATCCGGTTTATTTTGTACACGCGAATAACGCGCCTTAGTTTCCGGAGAATGGTAAACAGGAGCGTCTCACGGCACCCCTCCTTACTCTCTATAACGCACCAAGGCGCCGCGGTGCACACTTTGGGAACCCCTGGTATATTTAAAAAATCATTAATATTGACGCATATGATGTGTATTCATTTTAATGTCCTTGTCTCACCTATGGAGTAAGTTGTTCGGAACACTACACTGGAAGTTGTTGACGAGTGTGTTTACCTAAGACAAATTGTTTAACTAGGTAAGTTCAACTTCGACCAAGAGGTCTAATAATCTTATGCTCACCAGATGTCGCTAGTTGACACTCAAGTGAAGTTTTTGTTAAAAAATGTCATTTCATTGAGAAGTTAGTTTTAAATAAAAGTTTATCAGTTTTCAGAGTAATAAATTAATACACAGAACAATGCGTCACTGATTTGCTCTTTAATTTTTTAGACATTGTTAATTCTTTTTTCTACTTTTATGAATATCTGTGGTTTGGTTTATTTATTTTTAATCTATATGTTATAAAATGTAACTAATAGTGTAGAAAGAAACATTAACCTTTACATTTTTCGAACAAATTAACTTCCTCGCTATGAAATCTGTCAAATAGGGGAAGTCCGGGCAAAGCGAATACCTTAAGATATTCAAGGCTTTATCAGAAAATTTATAAGAGATGGAAACAAAACAAATATCTCAAATCAGTCTTTATTAATTGCTTTTACATATATAATAATCATTTAACTTTAAAAGTAAAACAACTAGTAACAAAAAGTAAAATTCAAAAAATTGAGATAGTATTCACTTTGCCCGTACCCCCGGGTAAAGTGGATATGGTGCACGGGCAAAGTGAATAACTACCTTCTAATTACACAAAACTCAAAGTTACACTTAGTTATGGAATATAGACGGACAAAACTTAAATTCGCGTTTAAAGGACAAATCTTAAAAATTAAGACTGGCAATTATCACATGTATAATCTCCAATGCCTTCGAAAGCGGAACATTCTTCGTGACACCATCTGAAACAGGCACACATCGAACCCAATTTTCAATTGGATGATTATTTTCTTCAATATATATTTCACCGCAAAAAAAACATACAATATCTTCAAATTTCTTAATTTTCTTTGATTGTTTATTATTTTTAACAGGTTTTTTAGTAGTCTTTATTGAAACTTTTTTTGATTCTACATTTAGTTTTTTACTTATATTATTAACTGCATTTTTTTCAAATTTTAACTTCTGCTCTTCTTTTATAGGTGTACTAGTTAAAATTTCCGATTTTTGCAATTTGCGTTTACGAGTTGTTATTGGTTTCTCTGGATTTGGTATTGGTCTTAATACTACGGGACTGTAGTGAAAGTTTGAACATCCAGGTTCCGGATTCGGTGGGTCATCACAGCGAGTATTTTTTGAGGTCCCTGGTAACATTGCATCACTTTTTAAAGGATGCATAACATTAATATTTGTAGCATCTGGCTCCAAAGTAGAATAAGCTTTAAGTGACACTGTTTCTGGTTCCAGTGTAATAATGGAGCATACTTCACTGTGAATAATATTTTCTGAGGTTTTAGTAGATTCTTGGGAAACTACAATTGGTGCAACAGAGACTTGAGGTTGAGGTTTAGATAATTCGCAAATTGTAGCTTTTCCTGGAGGTAGAACTATTTCTGCATGGGGATCAACTGTCGAATTGTATTCTTGTGAAAGTGAGGGTGAAGGCGTTGAAGAGGCAGCGGAATCAGAAATATCTATTATTTGTATCGAATCTATGCCTACTGTGCTGACATTCATACTTGATCTGCCTGCAATCACATCCGCTGGTTCAAAGTCTTCATCACCAAAAGCATATTTGTTCACTGGCCAAATTCCAGGTCGTTCAAACCCATGAACTGCATTTATGGCGACTGCACTTTTCAGAAAAGCTGGTGATAACAGTCTGGCCACGTCGTACTGATTTACAATGCGTCCAGGATGAGCCTTTTGGAATGTATTAATCTCTCGTTCAAAATACGTTTTCAGTGGGCCGTAGACGGCCACATCCATAGGTTGCATTTTATGAGTAGTATGCGGGGCCAAGGATAAAATTATGACGCTATTCTTACTTGCATATTCCAAAGCAGGATAATATTTGTGGCTCTCATGGTTGTCCAAGAGTAGAAGTACCTTTTTGTCGGCGCTAGGACGTACATGTTCTACGAAGAAATGCATCCAATCAAGAAATACCTCACCTGAAGTCCAACCACTTGGCGTACAAGTACCTTGAGTTCCGGGAGGCGCACCGTCAAGAAGCCTGGGTTGCATTTTCTTTCTGGCGAAAATCAGGAAGGGTGGTAGAAATGATCCAGCGGCATTACAACACCCGATGACAGTCGTTAATTGACCTCGCTCCGCACTTGCAATTATGCCCACCTGTTTCTTTCCTTTTATTGATAGTACTCTAGGGGGTTTGTTTGATGTCGTCGAAATACCGGTTTCGTCCATATTATAACATCTAGATGCATCAATATTGTATTTATCAATTAAAGATTCAAGATTTTCGTAGAAACGTCTGACTTCATGTCTATTGAATCCTTTTGCTCTCGCAACCGATGTTGCCTCTGCAGTTCTGAGCGTAATGTCAGTGTGGCGTGACAAAAATGATTGTAGCCAATCATCTCCTGCTTTTTCATACTTGTCCCAACTTTTTGGGTAACTCAAATTATTTTTTTTTGGCATAGGTATACGCTAAATTCTTAAACTCATCTCGAGTTAAACCAAAAAACACGGAATCCATTTCTTTGAGATAGGTCATTAATTCTATCTCCTCATATTCACTGAACACAGGACGAAATCTGCCGAGTTTTGGAGTAACCTTGCCACTTTTGATGTGTCTGTACAAAGTTGCATAAGCCAACCCATACTTTTTAGCTGTGCCCTTCACCGATTCTCCGGCATGGCATAAATTTACAGCCATCTGCATGACGTCTTTATCCCAAGAGCCTTGATTAGTTTTTCTTTTGTATTTATGCACCATCTGCAACGAAATATGAGCTTTATAATACTGAAACGAAAAATCGTAACAGCCGGGCAAAGTGGATATCATATCCGCTTTGCCCTATTCACTTTGCCCAACCCGACCACTTTTAAGGTTAAGTTAGTTAATATAAAAACTATTGGTTTCAATTCCATGTTCGACATATTTTAAAAAGGCACTTTGATACGTAATAGAACTATATTACGCCCAAGAATGATAAGCAAATAATATAGGAAATATCATCAAAACACTTACCTCGAAATATTGTAAATTATTTTTCGAAAACACAATTTGCCGTTCTGTGGACGGCACACGACACAACCTCTCGCTTAAGTATTTGCCGCTCACTGAGACAAGATGGCGGAACGTTACTATGGCCGCGTGGTTAATGCTAAACGAATAGTTTGGTAATAGCGGGGACTATTCACTTTGCCCGGGGTGTTCACTTTGCCCGGACTTCCCCTACTACACGTCATTTTAAGTGGCACCACCCTGGTGACGAAAAAGTCATGGATGCCGTCATTGACGGCTTCAACTCGGCTTGGTAGCGTTTGGGAGTTTACGACACATCGCGTCACGTATTCCTCAAAGCCTATATTAGAAATAAAAGTGGATCTGAGGCGTGGTCCTTCATTGCTGGGTGTATAAGAAAGCTCAAGGTCACTCAGTAAACTATGGAGAGGTTTATGCTTGGAGTTTATGTAAATGTAAAAAAAGTAAATGCGTAAACATATATGTGCACACAATGCATCAACATTTATTTTGTAGATGTACACGCTAGAAACAGGAAAACTTTTATTTATGGATTTTTCCTCTTGGGTGCCCAATACGGCACCCACGGCATGAGATGGGGCGATGGCTTGTCTCGCCGTCACGCACTGGTGTCACGCCATCAAGCATTAGGTTGGTCATCGGAAAAAAATCTTTAAAAAATCAATGTACACTCTGTTTGTTATCTAGTCTGTGATCTCTGTGACATTTAAAACTTGATTCGCATTCATATTTATCATGTTATGTTATTTGAATAGTTATAGTATTTAATCAGTGAATCCGAGCTTACGGCGAGAAGCGCGCGCGTTTTTTTTTTATTTATAGTTATTGCTAAAATTCAACAAATATAACCATGGGGTGAGTTTAAATCAACAAACAAATCTAAGTATTTTGAAGTGTTTTAGTTTATTTAGTGTATGTGGAAGAATCAAAACGGAGAATAAATTACATTATTTTCCTGTTATTGACGCATTCGATTGGCAACGAGTGTCGTAAACTTGTGTTTGAATTTAATATAATATTTAAAATATTATGTTAATTTGGTGTGCATATATTTTTTTGATTTGTTTAAAAAAAAAATTGTTTTTGGATAATCATATTTTTTATTACATTAAAAGACTGATGAAGAGATACCGTGTAGTGGCGGTGTAAGAATACCCACTACCCCATATAGTCCCGTGGGTGTCGTAAGAGGCGACAGAGGGAAACAAATCAGGAGAAGGGCAGCAACGCCTTCCTAATAACGATGAAAATGTAAAACTGCGGGTGCCATCCGTTTGCCGAGTGTGGCAATTATGGCAATTTTCGCCCCCATCAGGCAATCTATGGGGGAGGCCTATGTTCAGCAGTGGACTTTAATATTCTGTAACGGCTAATGATGAACAGATGCGCCGTCAAATCTGGGGCCTAAGGTAGAAACAACACCACTGTAATAGATTATATATAATAACGTCTTTTGATTTAAAAAAAATTAAAACAATTGATTATATTGACTCTATTCTATTCCTTTCAACGTATATATTTAAATTGGTTAGAGTGATACCACCTATCTGTAATATATAACTTATCAATATTTCCAAAGTAATTTTCCATGACCGAATTATTTATACTTGAACAGAAAGATCCTTTATTCTCCATCTTTATTTTTTTTTATATCAGGTTGACAAACTAGCACACAGCTTACCTGATGGTAAGTGGATGCTGTGGTCCATAGACATCTACATTTATCGTCGATTAAGAATCAAAATGCAGATGCGTTGTCACCACTGATGACTAAGCTGGGATGTCGCATCTCCAGTAAAAATGGTCTCCGATTCTCTAAACTCACCATACGAAACACAACAGCGTTAAGCTGCTATTTCACGCTGTTATTCCGTGAGAGCGTGGTTCTTACCTGATCGAGCCGAGCCATTCGTTAATATAGCTGCAGCGTTGCTCTACCACGTGTGAACGTATATTTAACTCCTTAAGGCCAAAAATTCAAATAAGTTAAATAAGTATTCCGTATAATAGTAAATGAACACATTTGTACAAACAACAACAACATTTGTGTTCTTGGTGTTAATATAATATAATTCTATTATTAAAATATCTATAAAGTTAGAGCCTACCACGTCCCACTCCTGGGCACAGGCCTCCTCTCATTTCTGAGATGGTTTTAGGGCTAGGGATGTTGGTGGCCTTCACGTCTTCGAATTTTTTATTTTATTTCTAAGACATGTAGATTTCCTCGTGATGTTTTTCTTCGGCGTAAAGCACGTGGTAAATCAGCACTTAAAATTGTAATTAACATTTTCATTGGTGCCGGCGGGGTTCGAACCCGCTTTGCTCGCGTATTGTGATATTTACAACGAGCACTTAGCCTCCTAGCTACCACGACTTATAAATATACATAATATAGTGCGTGAGGGTAATATGGTCATCCGGTTAATATGGTCACTTTCGTATAACTCAAAAATTACAGCATAGTTTGCATAGATGGCGCTGTGATACGATAGCTCTTTATCAGTCAATCAAATAATAAGGGATCAAAAGGGCGCCGCTTTATCGACGCCATTTTGACTGTTGACATTATAGTAAATATTTTATTCGATTTCAGTATTGTATAGTGTAGTTAGTTTTATTTAAGTTGATTTATCGAAGTGTTCTTAATTATTGACAAAGCTTGTTTGCTATTTTTTTCTTAATGTATTCGTTATAGTATACGACTTTGTGTTTTTGTCTCTGTCCTCCCCCTGGTTTTAGTTTCATATGGTGGCAAAGCTTAACACCTAGGGAGTCGCGTTCTAACTTGTAGCACAAGTACTCACTACCGGGTCCAACGGACCCAGTACAATATCATAAATTTAATCCAAAACAGCTTAATAAATGTAAATGTTTATTTTCTAATAAGGATTTTATATGTATAAGGAAAATTACTCAAATATTGTAATCAAATACTAATATTTATTATTTTTAATTAAACAAAAGCTGTTACAAAAATATACTAAATTTCTCCACAGTGTTGTAACAAGTATTAGGCTAATCTTTATAATTTCTATAAATACCTATTTCAAACAAAGTCTTCTATGTTTTCTTACATATCTATAATGCACTTACTTAATACGGAATAACAAAGAGAGATCAATCATCATAGACTTTTTTTTTTAAATAACAAAAATATAATATCTTCTTTGGAGTAAAATCACACTTTCCAACATTCTACTGACACGTTTTACATAAAATTTTGCTTTGTACAAATATGTTTCACGTGTTCTCCACAGAATGGTACCTACACTGCACTTAATGCAAAAAAGCTTTGGTTTTACTTTCTTCCCGATACATAGGCGGCAACGTTCTTTTCTTCCACTCACTGGTCGATTGGATGCAGCTGTTAGTTGTACTCCTGGTATTATGTCACGGATACGGATTTTGATGTGCTATGGAATATTTGTAATAGAGTACGTGATGGTAATATGGTCATTCGGTTAATATGGTCACTTTCTTATACCTCAAAAACTACAGCCTAATTTGCATAGATGGCTTTGTGATACGATAACTCTTCATCAGTCATTCAAAAATAATGAAGTGTCAAAAGGCCGCCGCTTTATCGACGCCATGTTGACAGTTGATATTATAGTAAGTACGTGAGGGTAATATGGTCACCTTAAGCTTTATCGCCCTATTAAAGCCAAATTAGGAGGAGAACAGAGACAAAAACACAAAGTCCTATACTATAACTAATATATTAAGATAAAAATAGCAAACAAGCTTTGGAAATAATTAGGAACACTTCGAAAAAGCTACTTAAAAAAACTAACTACACTACACAATACAAAAATCTACTAAAATATTTAGAATAATATCAACTGTCAAAATAGCGTCGATAAAAGAGCGCCTTTTTGACCCTTTATTATTTGATAGACTTATCAAGAGCTACCGTATCACAGAGCGTTCTATGCAAACGACGCTGTAGTTTTTGAGTTATTATAAGAAAGTGACAATAGTAACCGGATGACCATATTACCCTCGCGTACTATAGTTAGTTTTTTTTAAGTTGATTTTTCGAAGTATTGCTAATTATTGCCAAAGCTTGTTTGTTATTGTTTTCTATATTAGGTATAGTATACGACTTTGTGTTTTTGTCTCTGTCCTTCTCCTAGTTTTGGTTTTATAAGGCGGTAAAGCTTAAGATGACCATATTACCCTCACGTACCTTAGTAATTCTTTCACGCAGGTGTGTTTAAGAGAAAGAGCCAATGTTTATATAAAATCTCTTTGTGTAAATTTATTAGAAGGCAATATGGCCTTTTTAATAAAAGTAAAGTAAAGTTGCAGCCTATTTACGTCCCACTGCTGGGTACAGGCCTCCTCTCATTTCTGAGAGGGTTTTAGGGCAAGGAAATGTCCGCCGCGCTGCCCCAATTCGTGTTGGCGAACTTCACATGTATTCGAAATATTTTTTTCTCATTCCTCAGACATGCAGGTTTCTTCACGATGTTATTCTTCACCGCAGAGCACGTGGTAAATCAGCACTTAAAATTGCAATTAACAATTTCATTGGTGCCGGCGGGGATCGAACCCGGGTTGCTCGAAGTACTGTGAAGCTTACAGCGAGCGCTAACCATCTGAGCTACCACGGCTCACGATTTTTGAATAAAGTATGCAAGTTATTCCGCCAATATTCAACACAATCTAAATCAGGACCTGGATGATCAGGTTCCGATCGGCGGATGTTTTGCCTCGGTTCTGAGTTTAATTCCCGTTCAGATTGTATATTTGATTCTGATGAGCTTGGGAAACTGAATATTTCACCTTCTTGTTCGGAATCTGATTCATGTTCGCTTACAGCTAAGCAGTATTTTGTTTTTTTATTTCTTTATTTAGATATTCATCTATCTCTCTAGGACTCAAAACCCAAATAGTTGCCATTTTCCATTAAAAAAAATCAAGTAAATAGATAAATAAATATAAATAACAATGAAAATAAAATGTTATCTTTCTAATTTATTACCATGACCATTTATGACCATTTATAGCAATGAGTTTTTACACTAAAATAAATATCAACCTCTTCTATGTCCCTGTGTTTTCCTTTTTAATGATACAATATCTTTATAAGCACTAGAACCTTTACAAAATGCTCAAATTTGCCTATACAATAGACCGCTGTCAACAGAGGCCTAGTGTTTAAGTTTGATAACTAATACTGAAAAAAAAAAACATAGAGACACAGTATATCCTTCTTATTCAGTTTATAAAATATATCTTTTAAATTGGTCCAATATTGGAGGAAGAAATGGTAGAGAGCCAAACCTCGAATTATGTCTTTTCTGCCGACTTCCAAAAAGGAGACGGTACTCAATTCGACTGTATGTTTTTTTTTTATGTGTGTTACCTCATAACTTTGTACTGGGTGAACCGATTTCGATGATTCTTTTTTTATATGAAAGCTGATAGTTCTCGTTTGGTCCCATATGAATTTGATCAAGGTCAGACCAATAGTTTTTGAGTTGTTCTTAAATAACTTATATTGAAGTCGGCTGTACAAAATTTTTAATTTTTAATTATTAAGCTCCGAATGAATGGATCTGCAGTTGTCCTTATAGGACGCCGAGCGCTCACAGAGCGACAGCGATAGCCCGCATTTCTTCTTAAGGTGACCACTACTTACAAGGAAATTTATATAGACCCCCTCTATGAGAGCAATGTCTAATGAAGCCATGCAGATTCCTGTAATAATTTCGTCATACACGTCAAAGCTTAATTAAATTTGTTTTTCGGTGATGTTGTGAGCCCGGTGACTCACATTCATCGCACTAAGTGCCGATTTTTCATTTTCCAGATAAAATATGTTACAATAAAATGTAACATAAAAAAATTAAAAATTACAGTTGTATGAATAAAATAATTCAATTGTTACACTTTTACATTCAGTCAGGTTATAATTTATTCGACTCCGTTCTTATTGTAAGAAGGATTGTCTTAAAATGGTGATTTGTACTTAAAATTAAGATACATATGAGTGCACTGTGCTTGCGCATACACTCGTGCACTATAGTCCTGTCTCTGTTGAGACTGGTCGCTGTGACCGAAATTCGGTCTGGAAGATATTATTATTATACACGGTGAAAGATTGATAATCGATCTTATCTCCCAATAAACACAAAAATCTAATTCAACCTATAATTGATTTCAGAATGCTGATATTCCTGTTGGGAACGGCGCTTCTTCCCAGTTTTGTTTCGCTTCAAGCTGCCCAAGATCTGGACCCCGATACCAGGAAATACCTGGATAATATCTTCAAAAGTGTCACTGGTAACTGTTAGGACTTAATAAAACTTGAACTCGACGGGATGATGATATCATAAAAAAAAAGTTGTATTTTTACAATTTGTTTTTACAAAACTTTATGTTTTTGTATTAAAGTAGCTTCCCGCGACTCTAGCGGAATTTAAAACTCATGGGTTGTAATTTTTTGCGCGGAACCCTAATTCTTTTTCTAAAATGAAAGTAGCTCAAGTTATTCTTGCTATATCAGCTAACAGCCAGCAAAATCAGTCCAACCATTTCGGAGATTAGCCGGAATAAACAGATAAAATAAAAAAAAATGTTTTTTCGTTATAAGTAGCGTTTATACTTTTATATGCATTTAGTAAAAACCTGTTATTTTGACATGGCAAACAGACGCTTCAATTTTATTTATTGATAAATTTGTTTCATTTAAAAACCATATTATTAAAAATATTAATTATCTGTGCACGCAACCGATAGCAGCCACAGAATAGCATCAGTCATTCCTTTTTTGTTTTTCTTCTTTTTCTTTTTTACGTTCTTTAGCGTGCAGTTTCTATTCGGCCGGTATATTTATTATAGAAAAGTACAATTAATAATTTGCAATCGTAAGCAGTAACAGTACCTAACATATATGAACAAGGTCTCGCAGGAAAAGATAAGTTTAGTTGATTTATTTATTGAAAATAAAACCATTGGATACATCTTTCCCTCACTATTGGAAGGATGAGTCATATTCGCCATGCTTGACGGTTAGGGAACGCTTAGTACGACGGTTAGTAACGTAAAAGGCGACTCGGTAATTCCACAAAAACATAATGTCTTCCGACAGATGGCGACCAGATGTGAAATATTAAGGACCAATAGACATGTGTCATTCATTCATTTCTAATGACCCGAATCATTCAAGTATTGATTCGTCTTACGAACCGGGTCGTTCGAGTCGTTCATTCAAATGGATCATTTCGAGTTTCAGTACTCTGTGATCTGTCCGGCGACCGACCTACCCGCTCGGTAGGTCGGTCGCCGGACAATACCATACGCTAGTCGTATTTCCTGTCAATCGTTTGATCCGGAACGTTAAAAAAATGCAATTGCAATCATCAATACTTTGATGCGTCCAGGGTCAAATGAACGAATCATTCACGATTGACTCATGCCTATAGACCGGCGACGGAAAGCAGCATCAAAGCTGCTCACGTCTGGTGATGTGATCCTCAATCCACCTGCCAAGCGTTCTAATGAAGCCAAGCCCAACCTGTAGCGAGAGAGGTCCACGTTCAGCGGTGGACTTTTACAGCCCGATGATGATGATCATGAATATGTGTGTAATTTGTTCGTGGTAGAGCCATTCTGCAGCTATATTATGGTTGTAGCAAGAATTGTTCGACTCAACCGGGTTGGGACCACGCTTAACGTGGTAGAGCCATGCTGCAGCTATATTTGTAGTATAGTTGTACCACGAATGGGTCGGTTCGACCGGGGAAGGACCACGCTCTCACGGAATACCAGCGTTAAATAGCAGTTTAACGCTACTGTGTTTCGTATGGTGAGTGTAGAGAACAGGAGACACAATTTACTTGAAAAGAGGCATTCCATCTTAGTCCTCACGGGTGACGATGCATCTGCATTTTGATTCTTCGTTGAGGATAAATGTAGATGTCTATGGGCCGCAGCTACCACTTACCATCAGGTGGACAGTGTGCTCGTTTGTCACCCTATCCTATAAAAAAAAACGCTCTCACAGAATATCAGCGTAAAATAGCTAGCTACTTGCACGAAATGTTTGACAAATTGTCGCGAATGCGATTGCTACGTAGTTTACATCTGCAAGCTGCTGTCTTTCAGACTCTCGGACACTTTATGCAGAAGTTTTTAACAACACTAAACTAAATTGCCATATCCTTCGCGACATTTATAGCTCTCATGTGTATAATTCTCTGCGATAAGTTGCGATAGTATGATTCGCGAGCTACTCGCGAGATATTTATTGCAGAAATAATTACAAGAATTCATGCAATATGTAAACAGTATTGCAAGAAAATTATGTAAGACTTCGGCGAGTGAAGAAAACTTCTGCAAGAAGTGTCCGACAGTCTGTCGTAGCTTGCAGAGGTATACTACGTAGCAAGGGCACTCGCGACAGTTTGTCGAACATTTGCTGCAAGTAGTTGCGAGTGCAATTAAATGCAAATCTCTGTGACTCGATAACTCAAATGACACGCGATAGATCTCGCTGCTTATCGGTTTAGGTTCGTATATTTTGCACAAGCGGCTGGTTGATTTTGTTATACCTAAATAAAAATAAGTCAACGACAAACACGTGAATGTCCTCAGAAAGATGCTAACTATTAAATTAATAGGGTTTTGTGAGTGTGTAACATAGGAACCCCTTTTCTATGGGTTAACCGCCATGTTGATTATAAAATAAAATTAAAAAAAAAACTCTATACTTAATAAAAACTGAGAATAAAGTGTACCGAAAACTGCATAATTTAAGAAGTCAATGGCAGAATGAATTCAAAAAATTAAAGATCAGGATGAGTGAAAGTGGGCAAGATGATGCATACAAATATAAATTTTCTATATAAATTCGCGACATCTATATATATAGCTCTCTAGCTTTATTGCAGAACAAATTGCAAGGATTCATGCAATAATATGTAAACAGTACATACATACATAATATACATAAACACTCACGCCTGTCACCCAGAGGGGTAGGCAGAGACTACGGACTTCCATTTGGCGCGATCCTGACACACCTCTCTCGCCTCTTTCACATCCATATATCTACGCATACACGCTCGTCGGTTAAGGGTACTCCTAATCTGGCCCATTTTCAATGTATCGCCGATCTGGTCGATAAACCTTCGTCTAGGGCGTCCCTTCCCGACCCTGCCGTTCACTTCTGCAACATAAATTTGCTTTGTCACTCTTTCCTCGTTCATTCTTTCTACGTGACCAAACCACCGAAGCATTCCTTTCTTAATCCTTGTCACAACGTCATCTTGCAAACCACACTTTTCTCTTATTACACTATTTCTCACCCTGTCATTCAGATTCAGCCCTAGCATACTCCTTAAGGAACGCATTTCTACAGCATTTATTCTACTCTCATGCTTCTTCTGCCAGACCCAACTTTCACTACCATACATTAAAGTGGGTACTAACACAGCATTATGAATTGCCATACGTGCCTTAGTTGACACATTCTGACTCCTCACAATAGCGTGTAGAGCCCCATTCACTCTATTTCCTGCGTTCACTCGTCGTTCTATATCCTTATCATATCTACCATCCCTGCTAAATAAACATCCCAAATATACAAACTCATCCACTTGCTCAATCAACTCCCCTTCTATTCTTATTTTACATAAAGTTTTACTTTCTTCTCTTTCAAAAACCATCACTTTCGTCTTACTTGCGTTCACTTTCATACCCCTTTCTTTCAATGAACAATTCATTAAAGTAACCATCATTTGCAACTCGGCCGCCGACGATGCAAATATGACTTGATCATCGGCGTACAAAAGGCATTTGACGGTTGACTCACCCATTCTCAACCCACATTCTTCAACTTTCAAAGTTTGCAAACAACTGTCCATAAATAGGTTAAACAGCCACGGGGAAGCCACACATCCCTGTCTGACACCTTTATGAATGCCAAACCAGTCCGAGTAGACCCCGTTGATCCTGACACAAGCACTAGAGTCCCTATAAAGAGACCTTAATGCCTGCATCAAGCCAGCGCTCAACCCAAATGAGTTCAGTGTTTGCCATAACACGTTCCTGTCCACTCTGTCATAAGCCTTTTCCAAGTCCAAGAACGCACAAAAAACTTTCTGGTTTTTAGCCAAAAACTTCTCCGCTATCATGCGCATGGAAAAGACTTGATCCGTACACCCCATCCCCTTTCTAAATCCAGCTTGCACATCCCAAATTTTTCCATCAGTTTCTTCCATAACTCTTTCAATTAACACCTTAGCATACAGTTTACCCACAATGCTAAGCAAGCTGATACCACGGTAGTTTTTACAGTCCTGCTGCGACCCCTTTCCCTTATATATTGGGACTATAACGGCTTTGCACCAGTCTTCCGGTACCCGTTTCAGTTCCCAACATAAATTAAACAAGGTGTGCAGCAGGCCTGCAACCACACCCTCACCAGCCCTTAGCATTTCGAGTGATACTCTATCATATCCGGCTGCCTTACCTGCTTTCATGCTTTTCATTGCTTTCATTATTTCATCTACACTTATCTCCCTACCTCTCTCCACTTCTTCCGGAATTTCTATTTCACTTATTTCAGACGACTCTTCACTCTTAAACACGCTTTCAAAGTATTCCTTCCATCTCTTTAAATTCGAAACTTCATCATTCAGCATGCAGCCATTCTCGTCTCGTATAGCATTCATTCTAGGCTGTTTTGAAATTCCCCTGGCAGTTCTTACGAGCTTCCAGAACATTTTAATATTTTCCTGGAAGTTATCAGATATCCTTCTATCATTTTTATCTATCCTTTCTTGCTTTTTCCTTTCAACAACTTCTTTTACTCTCTTATTTATACGTCTAAAGTTTGCCTTTTTTCTTTCAATCTCATCATTCATACCGCCAGAATTACCAGCTTTAGTTGCTAGTAAATCTAGCCATGCTCTCTTCTTTGCTTCAACTTCCATCCGTACCTCATCATCCCACCACAACGTATTACTTTTCCTTTCATTCGTTCTCTTACTTACACCGCATACTTCGGTGGCTGCATCCACAAGAACTCTCTTAATATTATTCCATACATTCTTCAATTCTAAATCATTCATACATAATTCATTCAACCCACTTATATTTTCCCTCAGTCTGCATTTATACTTCTCTTTCACACCTTCATCTTGTAACCTCTCTATTCTTATACGCTGTAACGCAGTGGTAGACACCGATGTCCGATGCCGCCAACGTCTGAATAGACCATTAATTCGGCATAAGACCAAGTAATGATCCGTCCCTACGTTGGACCCCCGGTAAACCCTTGTATCTACCACTGCGCTCCTCATTCTTTCATCCACAATTATAAAATCTATCATGCTTCTATCATCCCCTCTTTCCCATGTATACATGTGAATCCTCTTATGGCGAAAGAAAGTGTTCGCCACAAAAAGATTCTTTTCCACACATACGGTGAGGAGGTCTTCACCATTATCATTTATTCTTTCATCGCCAAACGTTCCTAATATCCTTTCATAACCAGACCTCTTCACCCCCACCCTTCCATTAAAATCTCCTAACATAATAATATTTTCATTTTCCTTACATTTCATCAACACCAGCCTTACCATGTCCCAAAACTGCTCTCGGATATAAGTGGGCTTAGACATATCTGGGGCGTACACCCCTAGCACAAACAACTTCTTTAAGCCCACTTTCATTCGTATCCACAGCAGCCTTGGGCTAACACATTCATACTCTTTCACACATTGACCCATTCTTTCTGAAAGGATGACACCGACTCCCTGGCATGCCCGCTCGGTCTCGTCTACTCCAGACCAGTAAGCGGTATACATGCCATGTGCAGTGACATCTCTTCCCTTTCGTTTCGTCTCGTTTACACATAACACGTCTATTCCTCTATCATTCATCATTTCGCATACTTCATCCATCTTATCATTCATTGCTCCACATACATTCAGCGTAGCCAGACGGGCCTCCGCAATCCACTTTTCGCCCCTCCGGGAGACAGGACGTGACGGGTGGCGAACCTCGTCGCCGGTTTTTCTCCCGGAGATTCTTCGCACCCCTGCCCCATTAAAGGGGCGCCGGGAACTCGGGGCCATTTCTTTTTCTACTAGGCTCATGGTGCGAACTAAGGGGGTGGTAGATTTTACGCCGCTACCATACGGCGAGGAGCCGAGTCTGTCGTTTCGGCTTTGTCGCTCGTTTAGCACCACCCGGGGGACACGTGTAGGGTGGGCCTAGGATTAGGTGGTCGAAGCCTACGGACGCGAGCGACTCATCCCCCTTATACATGTAAACAGTATTGCAAGAAACTTATGCAAGACTTGCGCAAGTGTTCTTGCAAGTGGAAAAACGGCCTTAGAATTTATTTGACACTCTCCCATGTTAGGTATATATATAATATGTAACGAAAACCCTGTGGTTCCCGTTAAGTACGTTATCAGGATCATTATTCAAACGTAAAGAAATTACTTTTTTTAAAACTCGAACAATAATTTATTTTATTTTATAAAAGCTTTTAGAAAAATTTACTTCAATGATGTGTCTTTCCTAGTATGAAGAGCACCTCCCGCCCTCCCTCAATTGCGTGCACTATCCCCGTCACCACTAATCCCAGCACCGCTACTCCCAACACCACTACACTAGGCAAGACACACCACTGACGATAGTACGACACGTGTTTCGCCTTTACACGAGGCATCCTCAGGTGATATAGACTCTACGGTGGCTAACCGCTAAGTGATTTGCTCTTCATACTAGGTAAGACACATCATTTTATTTTATAACGCGGATATTTGCAAAGTAAATTTTTCTAAAAGCTTTTATATAATGGATTTCCGCAAAGTAACGCCTGATTCTATTCATTTTATTTTATTTTATTTAAAAAAAAATTGTATGCAAATTGTATGTGGTTTTTTTATTACCTCTGCATTGTCTGGGGAGTAAGAGGATTGTCAAAGACCCCGCTTTACTGTATTCGGGCATAAATCTTTCAAATGCTTACACAATGTGTGTCATGTTTAAAACAGTTGTACGGGTGATATATAGCTTGATACAGAACTTCAGTATATAAGTGAAATTGAGTAACATTTTTGAGAACTTTAAAGCGTCTGTAAAGCGACACTGCCGAAGAAAAGTATCTGGGAGTATTGATGACTTATTTTAAAGATATCATCTAACATTTACGTAAAACGCAGCTGGGAGAATTAACGTGAGGTGACTAATGTTTTTATGTACCATGATTACCTGATATCTGGAAAATGACCCTCTCGCCGAGCTAGCAGGTAGGCATGCGATCGTCAGAAAATAAGTGACGTCTGGTGGCCCTGGGATCTTGCTCTATTAATTAAGCGGTGTTTAAATGCAACCCAATTTGAGAGCCACATAAATTTAAGAGATGCTCGAAATTGGCATTTTAGAGTACGGATATAGAGTATAGAAATTCTTATAAAATTGCTCAAGCCATTGACAAGTCGCTAACAATTTGACTGACGTTTCTGTGTTATCCATTGAGTTATATGTACTACGTACTAGAGAAGCCATTTCAGACAAAAACTGTGTCCTACTCTATGTTTTCGCGCATGCGCGGTAGTAGTAGTCGCGCATGTGCGAAGACTTTAATTTGATATAAAATAAGATATTAATATAAAATAAATATAAGAATTTAATATAAAATATCTTAATTTAATCTAAACAAACAGGTTATATTTCTAAATAAAATGTAATAATAATTATCTTATGGAATTCACAAATCTTCAATTTACGCAATATTTAGTTTGTATGGATTGCACTACAGAGCAGTTGAACATAGTCAATGTTCGGAATGGCTTCTCTAGTACGTAGTACATATAACTCAATGGTGTTATCATAAACCATTAAAATCCTAATATAATGTGTCTATCGAGAAAAATGTAGGTGTCTATGGACCTCGCGTACATTTTTTTTATAGGATAAGTGTGACAAACGAGCACAAAGTCCACCTGATGGTAAGTGGTTGCTGCAGCCCATAGACATCTACATTTATTCTCGATTAAGAATCAAAATGCAGATGCGTTGTCACCCGTGAGGACTAAGATGGAATGCCTCATTTCCAGTAAAAAGGGTCTCCGGTTCTCTACACTCACCATACGAAACACAGCAGCGTTAAACCGCTATTTTACGCTGGTATTCTTTGAGAGCGCGGGCCTTCTCCGGTCGAGCCGACCCATTCGTGCTAGAACTATACTACTAATACAGCTGCAAGCATGGCTCTACCACGTAACTCTCGCCAGGCCAACTCTGAATTTACATAAACAGCACCCATTTACTATCAGGTGGACTGGATGCTCATCTATCACCATTCATCAATATCAATAATCACTACAGCCTCTCCAAATTACTAATGCTGAGTGAACACGCACCGTTTCATTATTTTGGGTTATTATCAAGAAGATGCTACTGTCCTTCCCTGTTTCATTTACTTTTGTCACCTCTCACGACACGCGCAGGATCATATAGAATGTATATTCTTACATCGCCACTAGGATTTGTATAAAAAAAAATAATTTCACCAACAATGATTTCATTTCAAAATTCGTTTCTGTGTGTTTAGAAGATATCGACAACAACACATTGAATTGGTTGAAAACAGTCGTAGGCACCAATGATACGGAAATAAGCACCGAAAGTTCTTCAGAAACGGCCACCATTGCTGTTACATCGGCTCCAGACGACACCACGGGCAAACTTTGGAGCAAATCAGATCTCTCTGATCCAGATCTAGATGCGGACTTTGAAGGTATGTACTCAGATAATATAAGTGTTATTATGTTATAAATGAGATTTATTGGCTCACTACAGATTATAACGTCATAAAAATTAAATTTAATAAAGTAAACGGAATCATATAATTCGTAAAAAGCGTGCGCGAAGTGTTTTTGCAGTTTGTATCAAACAAAAATAATTGTTCTTACTACATACAGTACGTGATAGTATGAGCATTCGTTTTTATGAAGTAAACAGTCATACCATTGAAACTTGTTTTAAATACCATTTTATTAGTGTTAGCTAAAGTGATCATGAAACGGAACGTGCCTAGTAAATCCGCCATTTTGTCATAATTTTGTCAGAGACACAGATATGTTCATGCCGCTTAAAGGTGCTCCTTAAAATTAATTAAGAGCAATAAACGAGCGCATTCAAACTATTTGCTTTTACTAGGCGCTCGACTTGTGGTAAGTAAAGACTAGAAATGATTTGGAGATGACTCAAACTTTAGGCCTCGTCAGTTTGATAGGGCCAAAAAGTTTTCCTTACGTTCCTAGGGGGTCAAAATAGCCAAACGCCAAAAAAGTAATAAAATTCTTATTTCGGAAGTTTTTACACAGTCTTTACTTCCCGCATACCATTACATTACATTATACACATATGTATCAATGGATACATGCACTTTACGTTGGAACCTTGCCACTGATGATGTTGTTTTAATTTAAATGCCCAAAACTTACTAGTTTACTTGCCTAAATTGCTTTAAAATTGTGCCGGACGGGCGTAACTCTCCGGAGTAAATGTTGTCGAAGATACTCCGCGAGTCGCTTACGTCCTACACCAATAGTTTCCGGAGGATACTTTCACTGCCCTCTCTGTGTGTGCTGCTGGAAAACTGTGGACTGAGGTTCAAAATTAAAATGCACGATTTATAAATTCAAATAGCAAGGGAGTGGCCAGCGGTTCGACTGATTAATTAGTCGCGAAATTATATAATTATTATTTATTGATCACGGTTGTTGAACACGGTTGTTCAACTACGGTTGTTCACTATTGGTTGGTCACTATATATTTCAACAGATTCAATTAAAATGTGCGGTAGTATCAAAATATCTACTGGTAGTATCAAAATATCTATTGGTAGTAGCTGGTTTTCTAACACTACTGACTAGCAGCTATTAATCAACTAAAACTAGTTGATTTTATCACTTGTGTAACTGCGAATATCAGTTACCACTTTTTCCGTCTAGCTAACACTTTGCACTATATGTAACTGCGAATTTTCATTTACCACTTTTTCCGTCTAGCTAACACTTTTCACTATATGTAACTGCGAATTTTCATTTACCACTTTTTCCGTCTAGCTAACACTTTTCACTATATGTAACTGCGAATTTTCAGTTACCACTTTTTTCGGCTAGCTAACACTTTTTCACAATATGTAACTGCGAATTTTCATTTACCACTTTTTCCGTCTAGCTAACACTTTTCACTATATGTAACTGCGAATTTTCAGTTACCACTTTTTTCGGCTAGCTAACACTTTTTCACAATATGTAACTGCGAATTTTCATTTACCACTTTTTTCGGCTAGCTAACACTATTTTACTATATGCAACTGCGAATTTTCATTTACCACTTTTTCCGTCTAGCTAACACTTTTCACTATATGTAACTGCGAATTTTCAGTTACCACTTTTTTCGGCTAGCTAACATTTTTTCACTATATGCAACTGCGAATTTTCAGTTACCACTTTTTCGGCTAGCTAACACTTTTTTACTATATGCAACTGCGATTTTTCAATTGCCACTTTTTTCGGCTATGTGTAACTGCGATTTTCAGTTACGACCTTTTTCAGCTAGCTAAGACTTTTTCTAATTTACTATTACTGTTCACTATGTTCTGCTACTAGTCACTTCAGCTACTACCGAATACTACTGTTTGTCACTGGTAGTTCTTCCTACTATCACGTTGCTGGGTTTCGCGCCCATAAGGTAGACTTCGGCTATACTGTATAGTGAGCCGCTTGCCATTTTCCGTTATGACTCTTTATTTTAAAACATTTTCACTATGTAATTAGCATAAATTGCAATATTTTCTATATAATGTTAAATCTTACACTAATATGCTAAACATCATTAAATCGGCATTTTGGTCCTTTATCAGTATATGATAAAGGTTATTCAATATCATTGAGTTATATTTTCATAACGAATGGGTACATTAATTCTTTAATTTTTCTATAACTACCAAATGCGTTTAATTATACAAATTATTTCTTTACTATCGTAATCTATATACCATATTATGCTAACTAAATGTCATATTTACAACTCTTTTATAATACAAAAATATTCTCATTATTTTTAGTATAAACTATTGCGCAGTTAATTAAATTTCCAAAAAATTCTACGATATGACGCGCTGTGATTGGTCGATTTTTTCTTAAACGATTAAAGTTGTTTATATTAACTATTATCAAAACGACATTCTATACAATAAACACACTGTAAAACTATATTAATACACAATTTGCTCGATTTCGTTGGTAATTTCACTTTTTATACAAAATAATATTCTTTCATCACTTTGTTTCTTAGTCGTTAGGCCGTCGCGAACAAAAACTTGGCACTCGTATGTTACCTATGACAATACAATAATTTAATAAGTTTATTTTAGTATACTGATCAGCATCAATAAGATAAAATAAAATAATTATTCTAATTATCTTTGCTCAAGATTAAAGCGTGTTGTGGAAGTGTTTTTAATTATTATTTTGAATTCGTTGCAGACAGCGTAAAATGTTCAATGGACGACGGTTCGGATGGTCTCTGTGTGTTGTACCACCAGTGTGATGACAAAGGATTAATAGATAACACCACGCTTATAGACTTGAGGTATTTAATTTTTTTTTTTAACTACGTTAACCACGTATTTACCACGTTACCACGTCTTTATTAAGTCACTTTCTTGTCTGTCTGTCGTTCCGGGTGGAATCTTGCAACTCAAATTTCGAACACTTCCCGATGAGCTAGGGACTTGAAATTTTCCCCTGGTGTTGCAGTTGTTCATGGTCGGCGGTAGTCACTTACTATCAGGTGAGCCGCATGCTCAGTTGCCCCCTCTCCTATAAAAAAAATTATGAGTAATCATTGAATTATATGTACTACGTACTAGAGAAACCATTCCAAACAAAAATTGTGCGCTACTCTATGTCTTCGCGCATGCGCGGGAGTAGTAGTCGCGCATGCGCGAAGACTTTAATTTGATATAAAATAAGATATTAATATAAAATAAATATAAGAATTTAATATAAAATATCTTAATTTAATCTAAACAAACATATTTCTAAATAAAATGTAATAATAATTATCTTATGGAATTCACAAATCTTCAATTTACGCAGTATTTAGTTTGTATGGATTGCACTACAGTTCAGTTGAACATAGTCAATGTTCGGAATGGCTTCTCTAGTACGTAGTACATATAACTCAATGTGAGTAATAGACAACACCACGCTTATAGACTTGAGGTAAGTTGTTTTTTTATCATGTTACCATGTTTTTATTAAGTCATTTTCTTGTTTGGCTGTCTGTCGTGTGTAACTACAAAGGGTTAATAGACAACACCACGCTTTTTGACTTAAGGTAAGTTGTTTTTTTATCACGTTAATAGACAAGATAAGTATTAATAGAGAACTCCACGTTTATAGACTTGAGGTAAGTTTTTTTTTACCACGTTACCACGTTTTTACTACGTTACCAGGTATTTACCACGTTACGACGTCTTTGTTAAGTTACTTTCTTGTCTGTCTGTCGTTCCGGGTGGAATCTTGCAACTCAAATTTCGAGCACTTTCCGATGAGCTAGAGACTTCAAATTTTGAGCATAGTCCAGAATCGGATGACAATGTGGGAATATAAAAAAAACGTGGTATATTAATTTTTTTTGGTACATTTATGTCCTCCAGACCGAATTTTGGAGCGGATTCTCAACGGAAACTAGCCTTCAGAGCAGGACAGGATTATAGTGCACGAGTATGTCCACAAGCACAGGTGAACTCTCTGTTCGCTCACTCTCAGTCCGATGAGACTCCAATCCGACACGACCGGAGAGAGATTAGGCGCAGGACCAATGCTTTCATAGACACGGGGGCGATACACCGACAACTTTTCTAAATAAGTGGTATTACTCAGAATTTCTCGACAGAAAGACACCTCTAAAAAATGTAAAGGGGAAATTGCTAGCAACCGCTGAGCCATCCTGACCGCAGAACGTCTCGGCGGCACTGGTACTAGACATGTGTCAATCGTGAATGATTTGTTCATTTGACCCGGGTCGCATTAAAGTATTGATGATTGCAATTACATTTTTTGAACGTTCCGGATCAAACGACTGACTCGACTTACGACCAAAGATGTAATGTCCGACAACTAACCAAACCATTCGCGATGCAGTTTCTACCACGTTTGATACGTGCCGGCGGGGATCGAAGCAGGGTTGCTCGAGTAGGGGTGAGTGGGGTAATTACGAACACTTAAGGGGAAACTGAAATTGAATGAAACCATATTAAGTCACGAATGTTATTTATTACTTAAAGTTTACTTTAACTAATCAACCTTAAGTTCTGATAAGCAACATAGATAAATTTTCAATATAAAATCAAATATTGATAAGAAAACAAAACTATGGTTCGGGATTACCTCACAGCACGTGGGGTTATTACGGACATAATCTAATCATCACAGATAAATCCTTTTGATGTTCTTTCACCAATCTTCATGTGGAGGATCTTCATATTTTTCATCACAAACTAAGCAAAAAGCTTTTCTTAGTCAAAGTTTTTTGTTCTTGACAACCCGAATGGCTCTTTCTAAGTCTTCTAATTTGTATTTGGTCTCCGTCTTTCTTTGGTAATTTCGTGGCATGTGAAACATATTTCAGTAGGTATAAATAAGTTCGTGAAGGTACAGGTACAGGGCTGAAAGCAGAGAAACACACGAACAAACTTCCACAAATGTATTTCATCTAAATTCATCATCACTATCATCAGCCCAACGCAGTCGACTGCTGGACATAAATTATTAAATAAAAGACAATAATTTGATTGCTTAGGGGTAATTACGAACGGTCGGGATTACCCCACTGAAATAGTCCGTCACTACCCATCTGACACAGTAACACAAAACTATACTTTTTTTAGGTTAGAATAGCGTGATGCACGCGGCAAGACCTTAAAAACATTCTTGAATTAGACGTTAATTCATAAAAAAAGATACCGAATTTCTAAGTTACACCTAAAATATTATATACCTACTGTGAAATTTACAGCGAGCGCTTAGACCCTGAGCTACTACAGACCAAAAGACCTTTGGTAGACCAAAGGACTTCAATAGGCTGTAATAATGATGATAATGATAATGTTTTGAATTTAAGAATGAGATTTGAATTAAAGAAGAGAAGTATAAAACAATCTCATCTTGTCAAACAGGGCGGGTAAATGTCCGCATTACCTCATGAAGTGCTGTCTGCCTTCGGAAGCCCACAAGAAACCGACGAAGGTCACACCGTCACTACCGCAATCTGGTTGTGGCTGGAGTAACCCAGGCGCGAGCATCCTCCGCGTCAAGAGTTCAGGTCAGGCAACAAGCCAGGACAACATCAATAAACAAACATACGCCGATTACGGGGAATTCCCTTGGATGGTTGCTTTGATCAAGTAATTTTTTTACCTCCTTTCTGCATGAATATAGCTTACTTATTTTATTTAAATTAAGCTGGCTGGGCAAACATTGTTTTGCCCTTGATGAGAAAGCGCGATAAGTTTCACTTCGAATCTACTTTGGACTTGTTATTGTGTTATCATATTAATAACTTGAACACAGCCACACTTATCGGGTTCTTTTTCTGACTTTTGGCACTAACAAAACATAAATAAATAATAAAAAATAAAAAAAATGATTAGCATAAATAACATTTCTTTACTATAAGTTCACAATAAGCTAATTACACCAATCAATAAATCATTTTAGTTTATAAATATTGAATGTGTTTATAATTTGAATACAGCGCCACCTATCCGATCTTAACATGGCTATAATCCATTGTTTCTACAAAACAAATATATTAATCATTCAAGTCGATTAGAAGTTACATGATCACTAACAGATGCACCATTTACATTATTTAAAGCTTATCTTTTTTTTTAAACGTAACCTCCACACCTGGATTTTCTCCTGTATCGTGGAGAAAACAGTTTACATACAATAATTTCACAAGAACAAACATCCCGACCCGGAAGAACTATTTGTAGGCCATACAAATACTTGTTCCGTGCGGGATTCGTATCCGCGGCCCTAAGTGCTGCAACTAATTGCTAAGCGACTGCGCCACAGAAAAAAAAGCTATTTTTTTTAATCAGGCCCAATTCATTTGTCATTCGTAAATCTTCAATCAGATTTTTTAAGGTTAAGCATTGATATACTAAAAAACCAAGATACACACTCAGAATATCAAAACCGATCGCATAAAGTGAGATGATCATTTCAAATAGTTTAGTCTAACTTCAACCGATGTCAATCGACGCGACGCCATTGAGTACAAGACATAATAAAAACAAGTTATACAAGTGTAACATATAAATCAATACGCGACGGATTCAACTCGCCTGGGCAGTGTTCTTAAAACTTGAAAATAAAAGTGACAACTAGTGTGTGTTGCCAGTGATGACATATGGATCTGAGACGTGGTTCTTCACTGCTATAGCTTATTGTGTACTACCTGTTCCCCGCAACTTCGCCCGCGTATTATTTGGGGTTTTAATTTCTTTGCGCAGAACCCTAATTCTGTTTCTAAAGTAAAAGTAGCTTAAGTTACTCCTTATTAGATCAGCTATCTGCCCCGTGAAAGTCCCGTCAAAATCGGTCCAGCCGTTTCGGAGATTAGCCGAAACAAAATTAACAAAAAATGTATTTTTGTTATAAACACCATATATACTTTCATAAGCATTTAGTAAAAAGCTGTAATTTTGACATTACAAACAGACACTTCAATTTTATTTATTTGTATAGATTATTCGCGTAAATATAAGAAATCATTATCGTCTGTCTGTAATATCGAAGAAAATGCCTTTTATTGAGCTGACGCGGTTATTTGCATGCCGTTAAGACATGAATAAGCATTTTTCAATTGTCTGTCTGTCTGCCCGTCCTAATATTCGGAATGGCTGACTCGCTATAAAACTTTACGAACAGATAGACAGCAATGCCAGGAGTCATCTAGACTATATTTAATCCGGACCATTGGTAGATTTTTCTTGAAAAAAAGAAATAATAATAAAACAAATGGTTTTCGATAATCTCTATACATATAGCATCCATCGACTTCCTGCATGTCTTACCAGGTCGTCACTCCATCTAGCGGGGGACGCCCTACACTTAGTCCGCCGGTACGAGGCCGCCACTCGAGAACCTTTTTTCCCCATCGGTTGTCGGTTCTTCGAGCTATATGGCCGGCCCACTGCCACTTCACCTTACTAATCCGTTGGTCTATGTCGGTCACTCTGGTTCTACTGCGGATGTCCTCATTTCTAAGTTTATCACGCAGAGAAACCCTGAGCATAGCCCTCTCCATAGCTCGCTGAGCGACCTTGAGCTTCCTCATACGCCCAGCAGTGAAGGACCACGTCTCAGTTCCATATGTCATCACTGGCAACACGCACTGGTTGTACAGTCTGGTTTTCAAGTTTTGAGGTATACCTGACGAGAAGATGTGCCGTAATTTCCCGAACGCTGCCCAACCGAGTTGAATCCGTCGATTGACCTCTCGGTTGAAGTTGGACTTATTTGTCCCAGGTAAAAATAGTCGTCAACAACTTCTAGCTTAGTGCTCCCAACAACTACCGGCATATGTGTGACATGGACATTAAACATGATCTTTGTCCTATCCGTTGGGAAACACTATTGAGGTCATTGAGCATAGTGCTTAGGTCCTCCAGCGATTCTGCCATAAGGACTATATCGTCGGCAAATCGAAGGTGAGTGATGTACTCGCCAGTGATGTTAATACCGCATCCTTTCCTGTCCAGTAGCTTGAAAACGTCTTCCAATGCAGCGGTGTAGGTCATCACTGGAAACAAGCACTGATTGTACAGTCTAGTTTTCAAGTTTTCGATAATCAAGTCCAGCCGAGTTGAATCTATCGATTGACCTCTCGGTCGAAGATGAACTTACCTTAGTCGGACTATTTGTCCCAGGTAAACATACTCGTCAACAACTTCGAGCTTAGTGTTCCCAAATACCGGCATAGGTGTGACATGGACGTTATACATGATTTTCGTTTTGTCCATGTTCATCTTAAGACCTATCAGTTGGGAGACACTATTGAGGTCATTGAGCATAGTACTTAGGTCCTCCAGCTATTCTGCTATAAGGACTATATCGTCGGCATTCGAAGGTGAGTGATGTACTCGCTGTGGATGTTAACACCGTACTGTTTCCAGTCCAGAACTTTAAAAACGTCTTCCAATGCAGCGGTGAAGAGTTTCGGGGATATAACGTCACCCTGTCTTACACCTTTCTGCAATTGGATAGGTTTCGTACTCTGGTTCTGTACTCGGATAGCCATCGTAGCCCTACTGTACAAGCACTTCAGCACTTCGATATACCGGCAGTCAATTTGGCATCGCTGAAAGGACTGCAGCACCGCCCAAATTTCGACGGAATCAAAGGCTTTCTCATAGTCCACATACGCCAAACATAGTGGCAAATTGTACTCCTCGGACTTCTGTACAATTTGCCGAAGGGTATGTATGTGGTCTATGGTGCTAAAGCCTTTTCGAAAACCGGCTTGTTCGGGAGGCTGGAAGTCGTCAAGTCTGCGCGCGAGACGATTCGTAATGACTCTCGAAAACAGCACGTAGACGCGGCTCAGAATATAATATATATAATATACTAGCTGACCAGGCAGACGTTGTTCTGTCTTTCCGACGACCCTTCCCATAAAAAAAAAAATCCTTAAATTCGCAATAAAAAAATATTGAGTGGACCAAAGTTGGACCAAACTGAACACAGTGTGCAAAATTTCATTGAAATCAGTTCAATAGTTTAGGGAGTTCATCGCGGACAAACAATGTGACAGGTAATTTTTATATATAAAGATATATAAAAATTAATTGCAGTCCGTTAGTCTCGCAAAAAATCGAAACTGGCTCGATCGATTCTGATAAAATATTTTTTTGTAAGTTTGAGTAAGTCTCTGGACGGTTTAAATTTACATTTGGAGCTGATAGGTGGCGCTGTTGTCGAGATCCAGAAATCACCCGCGCGAAGCCGGGGCGGATCGCTAGTCTTAAATATAAATAACGTAGAAACTTTAAATATAGGAAGCACGACGGTGAGGACTGGTCGCAGAAGAATTACCTGGGTGGTGGTACCATCATACATCCGTCCGTGGTGGTCACTGCTGCTCACAAAATCGACAAGTATATTCCAGAGCAGGTAATACCTTCATATTCACCAATCTACTAGAGATTCATCATTCACCATCAGTACAGTCTTTCACAAGTCCACTGCTGAAAATAAACCTCCATGGGACGCCACAAAGCACGGTCCCGAGCCACCTGCATTCATTAACTTCCTGCATGCCATGTCACTCCATCTAGTGGAGGGACGCCCTACACTACGCCTACCGGTACGAGGTTGCCACTCGAGAACATTTCTTCACCATCGGTTGTAGGTCCTTCGAGCTATATGGCCGGCCCATTGCCACTTCAGTTTACTAATCCGTTGGGCTATGTCAGTTACTTTGGTTCTGCTGCGGATGTCCTCGTTTTTAAGTCTATCGCCCTCTTATATACTGCCGCCAAACACGAGTAGAAGTTGTTTGCGCTGCTGTTGTTTGTGTTCCGGTTTAAAAGGTACAGAGAGCCAGCACATTATGAACTGTGAAGCATTATTCCATCTTAGTCACCAAAATGAGATAGAAAACGAATAAATAGTTGAGTTCACATGCATCAAAATAGTATTACGAGCTTGGGGTTCGAGACAATTAAAAACTGAGTGACTTACCAAAATTTACACTTTAATTACAGAACACTAATTACAACTTAAAACCACAGTAATAATAAAACACAATTGTACTACTGATCACTTTAGTTCGCAGATGTATCGCTTCGAAGTATTCGCTTGTATCGCCAATTCAACACAGACTCGGGTCACGTTCTATACGGGCCTTATATATCAGATAATTCATATCTCAGATAATTCCAGAACCGTCCACTGTAGAAACATCTAGAATGTTCGAGTACATACCGGTCCAGACTGACTAATTGTCGATAGTTCTAGAAAGTTCTTCTATGGAAATTTCTAGAAGGATCTTGACTCTCCTAGTACTGCTACTCGATACTAGAAGGCGCTAGTGGTAACCAGTGTCACCATGTACCAGGCATTAATTGTGGCACGCAACAATAGTAATGGAAAGATTTCTTCCACCTATCTTATGACCTACAAAAATTTCCAGAAGTAACGTTATATATATGTAAATAACGTTGTATATGCCTGTATAAATAACAGCTGTTTTGGCGCGCCGCTCACGTAGCAGTCAGTCACCGAAAGTCCACCTCACCCGAGGATGCCTCGTGTAGAGGCGAAACACGTGTTGTATTATCGACGGCGATGTGTCGTTCCTAGTGTAGTGGTATTGGGCGTAGTGGTACTGGGATTTGTGGTGACGGGGATAGTGCACGCAATCGAGGGACGGCGTGAGGTGCTCTTCAAACTACATACGACACATCATTTTACCTCTTTACGCGGATATAAGCAAATAAACTTTTAACTACTTTAAGACTACAACTACGACTACAAGAGCTAAGTGACCTTGAATGACGCACGCACACATTTACACAATTTCTGTATAGCATCCATGAAGCTAATAAAAACTTTATATTTGCTTCATGATAGCATCAGGCCTCCGCCGGTACTGTCGGTACACAAGCGTTTACGCACACATGCGTACACATTATATTCAGAAATAAGAATATGCGATTTTTAAAAAAAAATATTGATTGGACTACAAAATTAAAACAATATTACGTTAATATATTGCTTGTAGAATAATCTGACAAAAAATCAGAATGATTGCATGTATATTAGTATGGTTTTTAATCGTTAAAAGAATTTTTAGCGGTCTTTTTGATCTTTGTGATTTTTTCTATGGTATCAAATTAGTAATATCCTGTTTGCAAAACACCTTTCTAAATAGCATATGTCCTGAAAAATATCATATTTTTTCTGATTTACTGCCGTGGCTCGCAGACTCGTACTTTAAGGCATTATAAAAGTATAGTTATATAGTTTCCTTTTCCGCAAAGTAACGCCCGGTTCTTTTAATTGTATATTTAATTTACGTGTTTCTCGAAATTACGCAATTTTAAGTTTCAAACTTCACTTTTAAATAAATTCGACTGCGCCATAATATTATAATAATAAAGAAGACGTCTGCAAATAAGACAACGGCTCGGTTTTATTATTTTTCTATTTCACCTTTATAATAATACTAGCTGTTCCCCGCGACTTCGCCCGCGCGTAATTTATTACGATTGGATTTCATGGGTTTTAATTTTTTTTGCGGGGAACCTTAATTCTTTTTCTAAAATAAAAGTAGCCTAAGTTACTTCTAATAACATCAGCTATCTGCCAGTTAAAGTTCGGTCAAAATCGGTCCAGCCGTTTCGGAGATTATCCGGAACAAACAGACAGACAGGCAGAAAGACAGACAAACAAAAGTTTTAAAAATCGTGTTGTTGTTATAAGTACCGTATGTACTTTCATACTGCATATAGTAAAAAGCTGCTTTTTGGACATTACAAACAGACACTTCAATTTTATTTATATATAGATATAGACGACAGTACCCAGAGGTGACACCGCATCTGTTGCGTTCTGTGCTTGAAGCTGGCTGCTGGTATCCATGGACATCAATAGCCACTCATCATTACCATTACATCCTATTAAAGTCCACTGTTGAACTGGCCTACCCCATAGATTGCCTCCTAAAGGGATATTTGTCACAGTTACCACGCTTGGCCAACGGGTTGGCAGCCCCAGCTTTTTGTTTTTAGTCGTTATTAAGAAGACGCTGCTGCCCTTATCCTGATTTGTTTCCTTCTGCTCCCTCTTCTGACACCCACGGGATGATACGGGGCAGTGGAAATTCATATTTCGCCACAACACGGCTAACTTAACCTTAGGTGGACTATGTGTCTTTTGTCACTTAATTTTTATAAAAAAAAACCTGTACGCTAACTTATATTAATAGGGTTTGCTATAACGCCACGTTTCGCAAGCGTATTGGCGATCACCAGACGCCAGATGTCTTCTCTTGGGTCTGGTTGAATAAGTACATCTCGAAGATAGAAAGAAAATTCTCGAGTGACAGAGTACCTAGCACAACATTGAGCGACCTTTGTTAGATGAAATGATAACTTTATGAAAACTAATTTGACTTTACACAAATTCTCTTATAATTTATTTTTAATTTATCGGCGACAATCTCTACTCTATGCGACTGTTTGACCTTTGATATCAACCACATACTATCTTAGGCTGTGATTGAACGCACTTATGAAACACTTAATATGTTTGACTTTGGCATTAGAGCAATTACATAAATGTCCTTGCTCTGAGACATTGATAGTATTAATGTCAACAAACGACATAATTTGTTCTCTGGGTTTCTTGCTGGTTCTTCCAGGGACTTGAGTTAACGCAAGAAATTTCGCTGAGTTACCCATGTCTACTTTAAGTTTTAATATACAGATAACCCATAGGTTGATCACACTTCCACCTGGTGTTGCAAATCGCAATGTCGTAGAGTAACAAACACTTATTCTCTGTTGCCTTTAAGTTTGTACTATTATCTATTCTACGCTTTATGACGCCCAGAAGACAGACGCCGGCAATTTATTCTACTTTTTTGCTAGGCTGTTGTACGCAAAGTCGCAAATTTTTGTGCCGGATTGCGTAAAATATCGACAACAAAGGGATGAACATAAAACAGATATTTTTGGTTTGTTAGATAAAATGTCGGGCTGGAGAGTGGGACACGCAGACGAATCTGGAGCTATATCCTTATCAGGAGCGGGATGTACAGAAGATTGTCACCCACGAGGAGTACTATAAGAGTAAGTTGTATTACGGAAAGCGTGCAAGAATATCCACTACGTCATGTCGTCGAGTGGATTTTGTAATACTGGGTTTAGACTCTCGCCTCGCGCCTCGCGTGTTGTTGCGAGGTAACGAGTGCCTGATTACACTCTCGCGATGCGTTCAGTTTGCGTTGAGCCAGCAACGATGAAAGACGTCGAAATAATAGCGGCATCAACTCTTGCCTTAATAAGTATTTATCGATGCTTAACCCTTTTTAAAAAGAAGGAAATTAAAAAAAATACGTCGTTGAGGAGGAATATGGTTGATGATATCTATTCAACGGAACAGAACCTTTTCAGTTTCATAATTTTATATAAATTGCTAGTACCTATTGTGCAAGATTAAATAACATTATTTTATTAAAATTGTAATTTTAAAACAAAAGTAATTCGAATGTTATTATGGAAGGGCGCCGTAAACAAACTGAAATGAGAGCGCGAGTGTAAACACCACGCTCGCGTCTAGGCCCTTTGCCTCGTGCTCAAAAAACCGGCTCCGACGCGAGCGCCGCGAGTGGCGAGGCGAGCCACGAGCTAGCGTTTACACTCGCGCCTCGCCTCGCCGCTCGCGCAAGAGTGTAAACGGGGGGTAAGAGGCGACGGAGGGAAACTGAAACAGTAGATGAGCAGCAGGATCTTTCTAATAACAATTCAAAATAAATTAAAACTGCGGTTGCAAACCCGACTGCTAGACGTGGCAACAATGACTAAGTACTCCCTATGGGACAATGTACAGGGGAGGCCTGTGATAAGCTAGGCTGTAATCGATGGATGGATAGATGTATTATATAATTGTGAACCCAAGGCATTGTAGATAAGGTATCACTTTTCCAGCAGGTAGTTCTATGTATTTATTTTTTATTTTTATTTTATAGGATAGAGTGACAAACGAGCAGACAGTCCACCTGATGGTAAGTGGTTACTATGACTCATAGACATCTACATTTATGCTCAATAAAGAATCAAAATGCAGATGCGTCGTCACCCGTGAGGACTAAGATGGAATGCTTCTTTTTCAGTAAAATGGTTCACTCACCATACGAAACACAGCAGTATCAAGCTGTCATTTTACGCTGGTATTCTGTGAGAGCGTGGTCCTTCCCCGATCGAGTCGACCCACTCGTGCTACATCTATACTACTAATATAGCTGCAGCATGGCTCTATCACGTATAACTGGAACTGATGGAGCCATATTTCTATATATATAAAAATCAATTGCTGTGCGTTAGTCTCGCTAAAACTCATAAACGGCTCGACCGGTTTTGATAAACTTTTTCGTGTGCGTTTCAATGGGTCCCTAGATAGGGTTGCCATCACCTAAAATGAAAAAGCCGGACTCGGCGCTCCAAAAAGCCGGACTTTTGGCCCTAAAAGCTGGACAATAATTTTTAGCCAAATATACCTTTCTGAGGCCATACAGCCAAAAAACTCACCAACTCCAACCCCCCGAGAAAAAAACTAAAATACACCGTTACGTTAATTGTTTATTAATCAATCACAACACAGTTTCAAGTGTATATACCTACGTTACTTATTATTCTGCAAGCGATGCGTGCAATACGTTACACTAACAAAAAACCTAACTAAAGCCGGACAAGCCGGACACATAAAAATTTGGCCGGACGCAACCCGAAAAAGCCAAACATGTCCGGCTAAAGCCGGACAGATGGCAACCCTATCCCTAGATGGTTTAGATTCACATTTGAACACGCTAGGTGGCGCTGTTGTCGAGTTCCAAAAAAAATCCGTGTGAAGCCGGGGCAGATCGCTAAATTTTTATAAAACTGTAGTGACAAACGAATTTACCTTCCATCATAATATCGTAAGAGGCGGCAGAGTTAAATGAAGCAGGAAATTGGCAGCAGAAACTTCCATAGAATATTTCAAAGTAATAAAAAAACCGCTGTTATAACCCGCCTGCTAATCGTGGCAACCATGGCAAATATCCATATGACGCAGTCTCTGTACTTCACTCCAGCAGAAGGCTTTTGGTAGGTTGTAAAGTATGAATGATATTCTACCGACTTCAATAAGGAGCCGGTACTCAATTCGGCTGTATGTTTTTTTATGTGTGTTACCTCATAACTTTTTACTGGGTGAACCGACCTCGATGATTCTTTTTTTATTTGAAAGCTCGTGTTTCCCATGTAGTCCCATATAAATTTGATCAAGGTCAGACCAATAGTTTTTGAGTTATTCTTAATAATTTATATTGAAGTCGGTTGTACAACATTTTTAATTATTTAATTGCAAGAAAATTTTAACGCCGTATTAAGTATGTAACCGAAATGGAACATATAGTTTTCTTTAAATATGAAAAAAAGATTTTTTTTCTATAGAATAAACACGTACATAGTCCAGCTGATGGTAAGTGGAAGCTGTGGCCCATAGACATCCACATCTATCCTCGATTACGAATCAAAATGTAGAAGCGTTGTCACCCATGAGGACTAAGATGCAATGCCTCGTTTCCAGTAAAAAGGGTCTCCGTTTCTCTACACTCACCATACGAAACACAGCAGCGTTAAGCTATCCTTATCCTTAAAATGTCACCCTTATCCTATAAAAAACAATCATGTGGGCCTTGTTCATACAGGAATTCTAATTAAAAATAATTTTTTGTCCTAACGCATAAAACATGTGATTCAAGCACCGGCATACAACGATATCTCCCTTCTGATACTGGAAAAGCCGTACGACTTGAGGGACGCACCCCACATTGGAGTAGCGTGCCTCTCACCTGACCTGCCTGTTCCGGGCAAGCAATGCTTCAGTATGGGCTGGGGGAAGGAGTTCCAAAAGAAGGACAAGTATGCTGTTATTTTGAAAAAGGTAAGATTGTAATATGAATCAAATTTTACGGATTTTCAACCGACTTAAAAAAAAGAGGAGGTTCTCAATTGAAAAATAAAAATTAAAAAGTTGTCGAATTCGACTTTGATGATTCTTTTTTTATTTGAAAACTGGTGCTTCTCATGTGGTCCCATATAAATTTGATCAAGATCTGACCAAGAGTTTTTTTTCCACAATCCTTAATAATGCGTATTTAATTGACTTGACGACTACATTGATGATGTTCTCATTTTATTTATATTGAAGTCGATTGTACAAAAATTTTAATTATACCACTTGTATCGCGTTTAATTTAAAATTTTTAATTCCCGACGTTTGGTGCGCTTCACAATGAAGCTTGTACACTCCTGCACCATGTAAAAGGACATTATTACACTCGAAACTTCGGGAATTAAAAAACTAAAAATCAAACGCAATAAAGTCCGTAAAATTTGATTTATTGAATGTTCTGTATTACTTATTATGTATTATTAGGTACACACCGTGTAGTGGCGGTGTACGAATATCTACTACCCTATTTCATCCCGTGGGTGTCGTAACAGAGAGAAACCAATCAGTAGATGGGCAGCAGATTTTTCTTAATAATGACTAAAAATAAAAACTGCGGTTGCCAACCCCTTTGCCAGGCGTGGCAACTACTATATCTCAAATGTCCCCCCTATGAGGCAATCTATGGGGGAGGCCTGTGTTCAGCAGTAGACTTTAATAGGCTGTAGTGGATGGATGTAAAGAAGACAATCTACCAGGAGCACATGACCCACTGAGAGGTGAAATTTTCAAATCAACAGTAACATTACAACTATAGCAAAAATCCTATGAGACAATCTATAGGGGAGGCCTATGTCCAGCAGTGGACTTTAATAGGCTGTAGTGGATGGATGTATAGAAGACAATCTACCAGGAGACATGACCCTCTGAGAGGTGAAATTTTCAAATCAACAGTAACATTACAACTATAGCAAAAATCCTATGAGACAATCTATAGGGGAGGCCTATGTCCAGCAGTGGACTTTAATAGGCTGTAGTGTATGGATGTATAGAAGACAATCTACTAGGAGACATGACCCTCTGAGAGGTGAAATTTTCAAATCAACAGTAACATTACAACTATGGCAAATATCCCCCCTAAGAGGCAATCTATGGGGGAGGCATGTGTTCAGCAGTGGACTTTAATAGGCTGTTAGTGGATGGATGTATAGAAGATAATCTACCAGGAGCCCATGACCCACTGAGAAGTGAAATTTTCAAATCAACAGTAACATTACAACTATGGCAAATATCCCCCCTATGAGGCAATCTATGGAGGAGGTTTATGTTCAGAAGTGATCTCCGTTACTTTTTTTTTCATTTTTAGTTTACTTTTGCTGCACTACCTCCCACAAGTTTATCTCTGTATAGCCTAATGGTTGACTGGGAGAGAATGCCTCAAGGCGTTAAGTCCGCCATATGTACGATTTTTCTTTTGTGCATAAATAAATAAAAAACTTTTATAGGCTGTAACGGTAACTGTAATATGTAGTATTCCCGTAATTATAAGAAATCGTTGAAGTAAACATGATCTGAAAAGGTGATGTCAGGGTTAACACGTTCATGCGAACAACGTATATGTACGTCACATATTTGTAGATATGATATGGACAACGTATTATTACGTTCAGCAATAACTCGATTTATTGAGCATAACGTTATGGTACGGTGTCTGGCCATACTAATGTTTTAAAGTTGGGTTACTGTGCCACAACATATCGAATTCTCAAAATTGTAGTGCCACATCGAACCAATTTTTTTTGGCTTCTTACATGGCGTTCCTCCCTGATACTAAGTACCCACTTTGTTAGCGCACAACGTCACTATACGTCGTTTCGCAAAAGAAGTTTCACGTCAGTCGACTTGTGCGCGTCGCGGGGCTAGTGCGTGCGCCAATTTTATGTTCACATGGAATATTGACGCTAAACGTTATCTTACTACGATATATATATTATATAAATATATTTTACTTTATTGTAATAAGTCTGAATATGTTCAAAATACATATTTTGTATTTTTTTGTTTGTTTTAGATATATAAAATGAGTCAAAAAAAGGAATCTTCAATGAAAATCTATGAGCTTTCTTTATCCCGGGAAACCACGCCAGTCCCTTTTGTTAACGATGGAGAGTTTGGATCAGATGCCGATTACGGCCCAATTGGTGATAATGATGACGACAGCTCCAGTGACATTGGCATTTCACAGTTTGAGCGGGGCAAACAGCGCAAAAAGTCATTATTGCATGTCAAAAAGAGTACTTGTTCCAATTTACGATCTGCTTCTGATGTTAGATCTACATCGGATTCCGCATCAGAAAATTCTTATAGCACCACAGACGATTCAGAGTATTCTAGTTATGAAAGCATTTTTGACTCTCATAAACGAAAATGTAGTGACGTCTTAGGACGTCAGCGCAATATATTTCAATACTAATATTATCAGTTATTGCACAGCGTCATTAGACGTCGCTTTAGTTTGTATGAAAAAATTATGTGCAATATCACATAGAGCTACTATATTGAAGTGTGTGCATGAACGTGTTAAAAACCAACCACTATCCCATTTCGTTCCGTGGGTGTCGTAAGTAAACACTAGAAGGTAGAACACCCTTTCTTACGTGGTAGAGCCACGCTGCAGCTATATTATGTTTGCAGCACGAATGGGTCGGCTCGACCGGGAAAGTACCACGCTCTCAAAGAATACCAATATAATACCAATAAAATAGCAGCTTAACGCTGCTGTGTTTCGTATGGCGAGTGTAGAGAATCGGAGACCCTTTTTACTGGAAACGAGGCATTCCATCTTGGTCCTTAAGGGTGACAACGCATCTGCATTTTGATTCTTAATCGAGAATAAATGTAGACTATGTCTTTTTTTTTTATGGGATAAGGGTGACAAACGAGCACACAGTCCACCTGATGGTAAGTGGTTGCTGCGGCCCATTAATTTTTTTTTTAATTTTTAATTAATTGTCTCGTTTGTCACCCCTATTATTTAAAAAAATATTCCTGATCTCAGGTTCAACTCCCGTATGTAGCTTTCGAAGAGTGCCAAGCTTCTCTAAGGAAGACAAGGCTGACCGCACGGTACAACTTACATTCGTCCCATCTCTGCGCCGGCGGTGAGGAAGGTGTCGATACTTGCAAAGGGGACGGTGGATCGTCTCTTGTGTGTCCTATATTGGTAAGTTTTCCATTTGAAGTTTACTACTTTTTACCATCACATCATCCACGAGCCACAACATCTACTTACCATCAGGTGGACTGTGTGCTCGTTTGTCACATTTATTCTGTTAAAATATTTGTATTTTTACTTATTTTAGGAGGACGGTGAGTTCACAAGGTTTGCTGTTTATGGAATGGTGGCGTTCGGGGTCGGTTGTGGTAATCCGATTCCTGCAGTCTACGTGAACATTCCTCACCTGTACCGTTGGATTGGAGCGAAGATGAGAGACGAAAACTTCGACCGTTCTTCTTATAGATATTAAAATACCTTTCTTGAAGATAAAAGTGAATGCAGTACTAGTTAATGAATATCTCATATATGTGTTTTTGTGGAATCAAACCTTTTTAGGGTTCCGTACCCAAAGAGTAACCAACCGGACCCTATTACTAAGCTTCCGCTGTACGTCCGTCCGTCTGTCCTGTCCTGTCAGCGGGCTGTATATCATGATCCGTAATAGGTAGACAGATGAAAGTTTCACAGAATATGTATTTCTGTTGCGACTAATACAACAAATAATAAAAATTTAAATTAATTAAAAATTATAAGGGTCTCACCTACTAGAATCGTGTATTACAATGGTACGGAACCCTTCATGTGTGAGTCCGACTCGCTCTTGGCCGGTTTTTGTTGTTGCATATCAAAGAGATTTAAATATATAGGTTGCATATAAACTTATTTCTCTGTTTTCTCTCTAGATAATGGCACTAGAACAAATATTTTTTTACGATAAAATCTACATCTGTCACTGCCATGTTGATTTTATCATAAATTAGTTATTTTAAAAATTTGAAACTTACTTAAATTAAAAAAAAAAAACAGAGGCAGCCATAAGGACTGTCGACAGAAGTGAAAACTCAAATGTACACAGACGGCTATACCACATGAGTAAAGAAACCGTACCGTACAGAGGCAAAGCTTCATACAACCGCGCTATGATAATTACACTACTACAAGCTTGAGGCGCGAGTGTGCGTGAGCACTGGCGGCTCGTCACGTACAGAGAGAAACTGATTTCAACCGGCTCAGCCAGTGCTCAAACTCAAGGTTGTGCAAAGAAAAATAAGTGTCAAGTTTTATTTTTAAAGAACTGTTCCTGTCACATGAAATATAAAAAGGTGTTATTATGGTTTACTTGTACTGTTTGTATGAACAATAATATAACAAATAAAAATATATATTTTTTTTAATTACCCCAAAGACTAAAAGAAAAATTAAAATTACAATTACCTAAATTGGTAAGTAGTAACATGACTATAATTTATTATTTTATATGTGGTAGATAAATAACTCATTTATAAGTGATCTACCTGCCTATAAGTTTTTTTTATAGGACGAGGGTGACAAACGAACACACAGTCCACCTGATGGCAAGTGGTTACTGTGGCCCATAGACATCTACATCTATCTTTGATTAAGAATCAAAATGCAGATGCGTTGTCACCCGTGAGGACTAAGATGGAATGCCTCGTTTCCAGTAAAAAGTTTCTCCGGTTCTCTACACTCACCATACGAAACACAGCAGCGTTAAGCTGCTATTTTACGCTGGTATTCTGTGAGAGCGTGGTGCTTCCCCGGTCGAGTCGACCCATTCGTGCTACAACCATAATATAGCTGCAGCATGGCTCTACCACGTACAAAAGTAAGTAAGTGACTGAAAAGTTTTTTTTTTATAATGTTTATAATTGAATAATTAAGTTTATATATTAAATAAGCAGGTTCATGTTTTTTTATTATTAAGTGGCGAAGCTTGCGAAGTCACTTATTGATTTCACGATGTCTGTCCGTCTGTCCGTCTGTCCCACGATTATCTCGAGAACGGTTTCGAATTTTCAAATTCTGTTTTCAGCAATCGATTACTGATCACCCAGGCATCTGAACTTCCTATTTTGAAACTGATTGCTCAACGGCAACCGTTAGAAACCACTACAAAGCTGATTACTTCGCCACTTTGCTATGCTGTTAGCTTGCTAGGTTTATTACTATTTCAGATGGCAAGAGTGGTTAAACGCTGTCGGAGGAGATGATTTCCTTTCTAAGCTTTTTTATTATAAAAAACGCAACAATATAGACTCTGTGACGATCACTTCAAAAAATCCTGTAATAAGTTTTCTAAAAAAAAAGAACTATAAAATATTTATTTGGAAATGCTTTACCAACACTCAACTTGCTGACAAATGATGGTGCTTGTTTGAGTTCCAGCCAATGTGCGAATGTATCTGAAGCATGGAGTTATATGTACTACGTACTAGAGAAGCCATTCCGAACATTGACTATGTTCAACTGAACTGTAGTGCAATCCCTACAAACTAAATATTGCGTAAATTGAAGATTTGTGAATTCCATAAGATAATTATTATTACGTTTTATTTAGAAATATGTTTGTTTAGATTAAATTAAGATATTTTATATTAAATTCTTATATTAATTTTATATTAATATCTTATTTTATATCAAATTAAAGTCTTCGCGCATGCGCGACTACTACTCCCGCGCATGCGCGAAGACATAGAGTAGGACACAATTTTTGTTTGGAATGGCTTCTCTAGTACGTGGTACATATAACTCAATGATCTGAAGTGTGTATGTATGTATGTGTGAATTGATTGAGCAAAAATTTTGCGAATATTTTGATCTCGAAAGAATCATTGTAAATATTGGCAATGAAGTATTAAAACGTGTGCAAGACTGTATTGCACGCCTTACAACGTGAGGGAGTGCTCTACTCTCTATCTCAAATTCATATTATGGCTGGCTATATAGCACGAAGAACCGACAACCGATGGGGAAGAAAGGTTCTCGAGTGGCAACCTCGTACCGGTAGGCGGTGTAGGACGACTAGATGGAGTGACGACCTGGTAATACATGCAGGGAGTCGATGGATGCAGGTGGCTCAGGACCGTGCTTTGTGGCATTCCTTGAGGGAGGCCTATGTTCAGCAGTGGACTTGTGAAAGGCTGTAATGATGATGAATGATGATGAACTACAGACACTGAATTATAAGATTAGCTCATTTTCTAATTGATTCACTTTATATATAGCCGGTGGGTCTTCTCGCTTAATAGAAATGTAAGCAATAGATTGAGATATTATAGTATTAAATAAGATTCAATATATTCTAAGGATGATCCCTATTGATTTTTGTAATTGAACTCAACACCGTTTAAAAGTTATTAATGAAAGTCGATCAGATTCCCTGTTTTTTTTTTCTTGTAATAATTATCGTCACTATTTTTAATTCTTTTCATCAAAGTTAAATAAAACGCTACCCAGTTGACATCGGCGTAACACATTATAGCTGGCTTTAGCTGACGGTGAAACCGTTTCACTTCCACCATACCGTTACGCGCTGGGTGATACGCGGTACATTTTCGATGTTTAAATCCAATAATTTTCCATAGATAATGAGAAAGGGTGGATTGAAACTGTCGGCCGCGATCTTAACAGACGGTCTCCCGATCTCCCGTGCAGTAAAGTACGTACCACCTACCAAAGCCTACCTAAATCCTATCTCAATGTGGCTAAAACACACTTAAGCCGCGTATCCACCAAAAATGTTGACAACATTTATGTTTCCAACTGTTTACAATTCAACAAAAGTTACCTACATTTGTTACCAATGTTGCCGATAAATGTTTCCAACAAACGTCACCACCGAGGGAACAAATGTTTGCAACAAGCGTATTCCTTTGATGTTGCCGCCGCAAATGGAAACACGGTTCCCGACATTGTTCCAAGTTTTGTTGCCACACTAGGTAATTACAGAAACATTTGTTACCAACACGTGTTGGCGAAACAAAAGTTGGTAACAAAACTTTGGTGGAGATGCGGCTTTAGCCATCATACGTGATCAGCAGCGTGAGTCTGCGTAGTTGACAGTGAATCCCCACACCTAGCTCCTCCCACTGCAGCCAAGACTCCTTTAGCCGTCACAAGAGATCAGTATATAAGTCTGATCGACTCACAGTGGGAAAATGATCATCCACAACTACCTAGGAATAAACTTTCACTTATCTTTTTAGGCTCACGGCAACAGACATTCCGCACAAATCTGTAATATCTTTATATATTTAAACGTGGTAGAGCCATGCTGCAGCTATATTAGTAGTATAGATGTAACACAAATGGGTCGGCCCGACCGGGGAAGGACCACGCTCTCATAGAATACCAGCGTAAAATAGTTTGACACTGCTGTGTTTCGTATGGTGAGTGTAGAGAACCGGAGACCCTTTTTAATGTAAAAGAGGCATTCCATCTTAGTCCTCACGAGTGACAACGCATCTGCATTTTGATTCTTAATCGAAGATAGATGTAGATGTGTGCTCGTTTGTCACCCTATCCTATAAAAAAAAAATATAAAATTACATGTCACGTCGTTTGTCCGCGATGAACTCCTCAACCGATTTTAATGAAGTTTTGTAAATGTGAATTGCTTGCACCAACTTGAGAGAGAGGGTAGTTTTAGATAAGTGACCCTTAATATTTTTTATTACCAAAGATTTAAAGGGAAAGGGTGTAATTATGTATGTATACATATTTATGTTGTGAGGTAGCGTAGTGGAGTCTTTACTAGGGCTTTAGGGTTGATAGGCTTTTATTAGGTTTGTTAAGGTTAACTCGCAACCCATTCTCTGTAAATAGATTGTTTGTGTGCACGGTATCACTGGTATCGCCGTCCACGCCGTTGTATAATACGATTTATGTGTGTGCAAAATTACTCGGTAGTATGATTCACGCACACGACGTTACACTTGATAGCCTGTTAAGGAGATGTTTTCTTTTGTTATCTTTTTTAGCAATTAAAATTAATGTTACTGTAACCGTGGACCGACTTGCGCGTGTCATTATTTGTGCTGATTAAATATTGTTGATACAACGGCTAACGTTAAGCATGCGGTGAGTTATTTATTCTCTGTCAGTAAATATTGCAAATTTGATACTTGTGAAATACATTCCCAGTTTCCTTAGAGAGCTCTCCAGAGACTTAAAAGGGGAATAGCGACTCTTACTTTCTACTTTGTGACGCAAATATTATTTGATTGATTTTATGATTAAACGTGTAGTGACGATGTAAATACGAGGGTGACAGTGAGAGTTCTTAAAAAATCAACAATTGAACAAACTAGCAAGTTATTAGTTTTATTATATCTTTACAAAATAGTGTCCATTTACATCAATACATCGCTGCATCCGATGGAACCACTGAGAAAAGCAGTTTACCCACTCGTCCTTAGTGGTCTCTTCGACGGCATTTTGAAACGCAGCCACTGCTTCCTCGGCGTCCATAAAACGTTTTCCTCGAAGTTTTTCTTTTATTTTCGGAAACAAATGTAAATCGTAGTAATTCCACGTCTGACGTCGCCAAGTAGTCGATTGTTTGCTTGCAGTGTGCGACAAGGCGTTGTCGTGGTGAAGGAAGATCCCACTGCGAGGTCGTTTCTCCCGAACTTTTTCCAAGACAAGTGGCAAACAATTGTTAGTGTACCACTATGCAGTAACTGTTTTTCGATCCTATAAAACAATTGTTGAGTTATGACCGGTCCTTCCGAAGAACGAGGCCACCATCTTTTTTTCCACGCTTCGACCTCTCTTCACTTTAATTGGCAACTTCTCGGAAGGAAACACTCAGACAGAAGACTGTCTCTTAGTTTCAGGATCATAACAATAAATCCAGCTTTCGTCACCCATAAGTATGTAGAACACAGCATTTGAGTCACCTCCGTTAAATCTTTGAACGACACACGATACCGATCAACACGACGGAATTTTGGGCCTCAGCAAATTATGAGGTATCCACCGGGCACAAAGCTTTCTGACCGCTAAATGTTCTCGGAGGATTTTGTGCACTTGACTCATACCGATGCCTAAGCTTGTCCGCATCTGCTGATAAGTCACTCTTTTGTCAGTCTCTATCATACGCCGCACAAGACTGTTGTTATCTTTTGTCGTCGCCGTAGAAGGCCGTCCCTCACGCAGATCATCGGTGAGATTAGTGCGAACCTTAGAGTATTCAACTAACTGTTAGTTGAATACTCTAAGGTGCGAACACGTTTAAACTCATTAAACCAGTTGCTAAAAGTGGCACGAGATGGGGCCTCATCGTGAAAGACCATTCGAAGTCTATCATAACTTTCTTGTTGACTTGAATGATATATGAAAGTCATAAAAAATCATTGTATGAAAATTTTGTTGCGCTAAATTCATGCTGACGAGATACAGACAATTTTCAATTTGCTGCCAAATCGTACACAAATGACAAATTAATAAAATACATACACAATGATATTGGCAGAGCATTTTCAAAATTTCAGCTTATTTTTTTATTATAGCGTTTACAAGTGGCCAGTTCTAAAAACTTTCAGTGTCGCCCTCGTATATATGTATGTCGTAGCCAACGTGACGGTCGCTGGTCTGTGTATATTGTATAAATGGCTGCCTTGTTGGTCTTGTGGTTATAGTATTGCCACTGTTGATCATGGGGTCCCGGGTTCGAATCCCGGGTTGGACCAAAAAAATCAGTTATTGAGTTTTTCCATCAAGAAATTCTCAGTAGCTGTCCCGAGTCAGGAAGTTGGCGGTGTCTCACCCCCGTTCCTCGGAAAGCACGTAAAGCCGTTGCTCCTGCGCCTGATCTCTCTCCGCTCGTGTCGGCTTGCCGTCCCATCGGACTATGAGAGTGACGGAATAGAGAGTGCACCTGTGTTTGCGCATACACTTGAGCGCTATAATCCTGTTCTGTGCCAATGGTTCACGCCGTCGAGACTGCTCGCCGTGGCCGAAATTAGAGGACATTATTATTACTAATTATTATTATATAAATGTACGCGGAGTTAGGGTGGCCTAATGGCCACCCCAGCCGCTCCTTACTACCTGACCTAAGTGGTTGCTGTAGCCCATAGACATCTAGATTTATCCTCAATAAAGAATCAAAATGCAGAGGCATCGTCACTCGTGAGGACTAAGATGGGATGCCTCTTTTCCAGTAAAATGGGTCTCCGGTTCTCTACACTCACCATACGAAACACAGCAGTGTCAAGCTGCCATTTTACGCTGGTATTCTGTGAGAGTGTGGTCCTTCCCCGGTCGAGCCGACCCATTCGTGCTACAACTATACTACAAATATAGCTGCAGCATGACTTTACCACGTAGTTGAACGGAGCCGTTTAGTAAAAAGGCTAGGCTGTTAATTGAAAGGTTAATTAAGCTAGTTTGCTGCGACATATCCACTAGTGTCCACATAGGCAGCAGCGTTTACCTAATAACAACTGCAGATTAACTATCCATAGGCTTGGGTAAAAAATATTAATATCGGAAGAACGATATTTCCTACATAGTTATCAATATTTATCATCGATATTTATAATGCGATATATCGATGTTCTATATTTGTTTTAGAGTATCGAATTCGTATCAATTTCGATATATTTTAAAATGATACATTTATTTTATAATGTAATAGACAATGTAAATTATCAGAGAAAACAATTAAGCAACAAAAGCAACTACAAAATAATTCAAATGCTGTTTTTTTTTCGTTGTCCAAACGTCCAGTATAAAACTTTGGCCTTCATCATGCAAATCATGACGATATATTAATACCTATTTATCACGAGATAATTATCCATACTGTTTAAAAATATCGATACGATAATTATCATTTTTTTCACTTGCCCACCCCTACTATGCCATACAACCTCCTATGAGGCTATCTATAGGGAAGACCTATGTTCAACAGTGGACGTTTAATAAGATGTAACTGACGCAATTAAGCAATTATTATTTTATTTATATTACCTATGTATTTAATCACCGTTTAATAAAAAAAAAGCAATATATTCTGTGGTATCTACCAATTATATAATTTGGGAGTAATTTGTTAGTTATACAATATAAGCTTATAAAGAGCAAAAATGTAAAAATTTCCTTTTTAAATTTCAGTGTATAAAATTAAATTTTACTTTTGATTATTTGATTTGAAAAAAAAAACAGCAAATGTTTCTAAATGCCGCGCAAGCTTTTTAGCGTTATAATGGTTAAAATAATCTTAGTAAGCAGTTTTAAAAAAAATATTTTATAATGTTTCACCAAATGACTTAATAAAAGAAAATATTTCAAAAACCATGTTATTATTTTGAGTTGCGGAGGCTGTACTTTTTTTTGTACCATAAGTAACCTTTGTCTGTTATACATTTTTGAATCAAGACCATTTTGTCTATGATATTTAGTTGTAGACCAAAGAGAATATAATCACTACGTTTTGTTGTAGACGATTGCGGACAAAATACATTGATATAGCGATGGGCGATTGCTGCTAAAAAACAATCGACTGAATCCATACTTAATATTATAAATGCGAAAGTGTGTTTGTTTGTTTGTTTGTCCTTCTTTCACGTCGCAACAGAGCGTCGGCATGGCATGCTTTTTTGTATGGGGATAGTTCGGTGGCTGTAGAGTGACATAGGTTACTTTTTTCCGCGAAAAAACATCTCATTCCCGTGGGAAAATAGAATATGTTGCAAAAGTTTGTCCTTCTTTCACGTCGCAAAAGAGCGTCGGCATGGCATGAATTTTAGTATGGGGATAGTTCGGTGGCTGTAGAGTGACATAGGCTTTTTTCCGCGAAAAAACTTAGTAAGCGTTATTAATAAGCCTTAGTAATATTTATTGAACGGAAATGAATACAGTTCTTATACATATTCTTATATGTGATTATGAATGAATATACCGATTCATTCATACAATAAGAAAAATTGTGCAAAATTATAAGAAAATTCTTATTAACTAACTTATAGATAGTTTAAATTTATTCCGCTAGATGTCGTTACTAGGTTTTTAAAACGCGGTAACGAAATGTTTACTGACGTACTTAACTCCCGCCGTTGAGCCGCGCGCGCGTCAACTTATAGTGCATACGGTACCTATATACGCTTAAATTGTTTCTATTTCGTAGCTTATTCGACTACCTGGTTTTGATTTCGGTTGTTTGTTATTTGCTTTGTGATTTGGTTAAGGTTGAATGGATTTATATTGGCTTTCATTTTCGGATTTGTGTATTTTCTTGGATCGATTTTGTTGATTTGGTTGGTATTCCTTTTCTTTATACATATTTAGACTCTGGCTTTGATTTTGGATTTTGTTTATTTGGAATCGTTAATTGGTTTTCGTTGTTTTAGGTTGTTTAACAATATTTCAAAGGAATATTAATAGTATAGATAGTGTAGACGGTACCTATACACTTACTTTTTTTTTGTTGGTTATATTTATATTGACTACTGCTTTAGATTTCGGTTTTCTGCGATTTGTTTTGTGATTTGGTTTAAGTTGATTCAATTTTTTTGGCTATCGTTTTCGGATTCGTGTTGTGTCTTAAATTGGTTTTGTTGTTTTGATTTTAAAAAATATTTAAAAGGAATATTTATACCTTTACGATATTTTGGATTTGCTTTTAAAAAAATATTTAAAAGGAAATTTAATTCCTTTTAGGTATTTTAACGTTTTTTTTTTATAAATAGGTTTTTTGTTACTTCATAATGCCTCGCAAACGTAAGTCCAGCCTTTCAAGAGTATCTTCTCAAAGACAAGCGAAAAGATTAGCTCGATCGCTAGAATCTTTAGAAGATGCTGAACTGAGAAGGCAAGAGCAAGAAGAGCGTCAGGCTGCTTTTAGAGCATCTGAGACACCTTCTCAACGTCAGCAAAGGCGTCTTGAACAGACAGAGCGTCAGGCTACTTTAAGAGCTTCCGAAACACCTTCTCAAAGTCAGGAAAGGCGTCTTGAAGAGGCAGAGCGTCAAGCTACTTTAAGAGCTGCTGAAACACATTCTCAAAGTCAGCGAAGGCGTCTTGAACAGGCAGAGCGTCAAGCTACTTTAAGAGCTACTGAAACACCTGATCAA